TACTCTAGGCGTAAACTAGCCTAACAAATATGTTGGATATATAAGTATAACAGATCAGAAAAATATGCCAGAGCTGTGCCATTAAGAGATTTAAATGTCAGTAGTCAGGGCAGAACTTAACAGAGAGCCAGTGTAAACTAATAAGATCAGAATATATCCTCATACCTTCTCTTCCTGGTGAGTAAACAGACTGCTGCATTGTGAACTAGGTGGAGCCTATTTAGAGAAACAGCAGGAAAACCTGCCAGTAACACGTTACAGTTGTCTAATCTAGTAATTATGAAAGCATGAACTAATTTCTCAGCTTCTTGTAGGCTTATTTTGGATATGTTTCCCACGTGATAAATTGAGTCTTAGAGATGATGCTTATATGAGACTCATGGGGTCCTATTAGGGTTACACAGGGATCACTGTAGCTTTTACTTGTACAGAAAAACATTCAAGTCAAAGGTAAATTCTGGTTTGTATATTTACCCTTAAAAAGGAATTAACTGCATAATATAAATTAAAATTGGCTGCATAATATAAATGATTGCAATGTAAAAAAAACTCATTCAGAGTGTTTTGTTTCCTTCTAGAGAAACTTGCTGAGTCAGAGTTGTACAGTTAACCATTTCACATCAAACCACTCTGAATTACTGAATGTTCACATCTCAATCATTGAGTTTTACAAAAAATTAAAAAAATTGATGGAATTCCCCATTAAAATTACAAAACTAAGATTTGATTTTGTAGATGAATAAAAGATTATTTTCAGTTTTAGCATAATGGTCACCTTAGAGGATCTGTCTGACCTTGTAGACTGAGAGCAACCATGTGCTCTGTCTGTGAGTCCTTTCACTATGTAAGTTAACTCCCTTCACACAGCTGGTCAGAAACAGCCGCTCGACTTCAAGCCTTGAGTCACATGGTGAAACTTCAAATGCTTGTGTATAAAGTGGACAAGACACACAAATAATCACACCTTCAGCAACACTCATAAATATATTTATTCAAAAAATAGCAACTTTACATATGTACATATTCATATAAATCTGTGTTATATTGATATAAAAGGTGTTTACAAAAGATATTTTAAAACATAACTAGATTTACAGACATCAGTGAATCTTCCTTGTGGTTAATTCCTGAATCATAAAATCTTAAGCAGCAGTTTTCTATTTTTCTATTTAACCTTTCATTTACAAGCATTTCAGGAAGAACAGATTGCACTTAGATCCTCGTGGACAGTCGCAGAGCTGACCGAATCGAGAGCCTTTCTTCACTGTACAGAAATCCCCAATGTTACACTGGAAAAGGACAGAGAAGAAGTTACCATGAGAAAAATGAATGTGTTATTAATCAAATAATAATAATGAGTACATCAAAGTATTTAAAACAAATGTAAAGTACTGATGAATGAGAAATTTTGAATACAATGTAAAAAGAGTTTTACCACAAGATGTCACCAAAGTCAGTGTCCGTGCAAACTAAGTGTACTTCCAGACACACTAAAACTCACACAGTCTTGTTGTTTGTTCTTTTTATAACAGACTGTGACATTTTCACTGGCTTGGACTTTTTCTGCCACCTTCATTTCACGGTACACATTTTTAGATTATAGAATTAAAAATCAACTGTAATAGGTTCCTTTCTGAGCTGCGAGGCTTGTGTGCCATGTAAAAGTTATCACATAGGAATGTATATGACTGGAGGTACACTATATGTCCAAAGGTGTCTAGACACTCCTTCTGATTGGTGTTCAACTGTGCACACACAGTTTGTATAATCTCCATAGAAAAGCATTGACCAATACACTGAGACACTGGAACAGCCGCACTTGAGCCTAAGATCTCACGATCAGTGCCAAGTGTCGACTAGAGCAGTGGAACTGCATTCTCTGGAGTGACGTAGCTTCATCCAGTACCTTGGGAATGACCTGAAGAAGAGGTTGTGACCCAGAGCTGATAATCCAATATCAGTAACTGAGATCACTAATGCTCTTGTGACTGAATGCAATCAAATCCTCACAACAATGTTCCGTTATCTAGTGTAGAGTCTTCCCAGACGAGTAGAGGCTGTTACTGCAGCAAAGAGGGACAAATTCCCTATTAACACCCTCGATTTGAGAACAAACGCTGTATGAGCAGGTGTCTTTAAACTTTTGGACATACACTGAATGTGTGTGTGTATATGTGTGAGTGAGTGTGCTGTGCTTAAAACCTACTTCTGGCAGGCGGCTGTGTTTTCTCTCCCATGTTACAGTTCTTCTGTTCTGCAGCTTTTCCAGCACTTTCTGCAGGACTCCAAGCTGCAAGTAAAGATCCAAACTGAGTTAACTGTGTGATGGTCATTGTAGTCAATGGATACATTGGTCCCATCCTCTGGGAAAAGTCAGTGGACACCAAACAGTCCAGTTCTTGTGATTGAAAATCTAATTTCAGATGGTTTTTAGCTCATGTTTAGAATCCAATTAATACCAATAGAAACTATTAGAAGCCACTGTTTCCTGTACTTTTGAGTGACTTTACTCTACTGCAGCCAGTTGCTAATTCACCTACATGCTTAAAAAAGATGTCTTTTTAAGGGTTCTTTAGTAAAGAGAATTGTTCTGTAGAACCATAAGTGCTATAAAGAACCATTTCATGCATAAATCGTTCATCAGATTGATGGAGTATGTGTTGCTTACAATTCTATATAGAACCAAAAACTATTCTTTTATTGCTACAAGCTTGACATCAGAACAACAGAAGAACCCTTTTTTGTTGCTATACAGAACCATTTTCAAAAAAAGGCTCTATATAGAACCATATACACATTCTTCATCAATCCGAAGAACTATTTCACCATGCAAAAAAAACAATTAAGCATGAAATGGTTCTATATAGAACTCATAGTTCTAAATAGGACCATTTCCTTGACTAAAGAACCCTTGAAGAACCACCTGAAGAACGATGTGCAGAGCAATGTTTTCATATTGTGCTCCTGAATGAACTCCTTAGTGCACATTTTAACCCTTTTCCTGTTTCCCTTTAGCCCCATTTTACCCTCATTAAGGGCTCTGATTGGTCAGTAGGTTAAGTCAGGCATGTTAAAGCAGGAAAAACATTAAACTGTACAAGGCAGGGACCCTGTTCTACAGTTATGGACTACGTTAAAGCTTATATCTTAAATCAGATTAACAGAGCTCTACAGGAATGAACACTGAACTCATCTGTAATGGTTCATCTACCCACCAACTCTCGCTTCTCTTCACTTTGGTCCCCCGATTTCTCTGAACTGGCGTCTACGAGGGTGGCTCTGGAGATGATGATGAGGAGGAAAACCCACAGAGTGAGTGAGATGCCCTCAGCCCTGCTCATGGCTCCGATTCCTCACAGCTAATCTCAGGTGTGTCCGCAGCCACTGCTCTCCAGCTTCTGCATGAATGAGTGGATTTAATGAGAAACTGCAGCACGTTAAGTAGATTAACTTACAGTCAAACGTCTCCGTTTTTTTTCCCACCTGTTTTCAGATAGAACCCACCCTCCTGTGCTGGGATTGGCTGTACTGAATAAAATACTGTATAGGATAAGCCTGCTTTATGGTGTTCCCACTTACATGTATAACTAAAATCATTAACCAAGTATATTTCTGGTCAACAAAGCATTAAATTGCGTTTCTTTATGTAAATTGAGTAAATGTATTAGTTACATCAAAGTATTGATTAAAATATACTAATATCTTGTGTTTCTACAGACTTTTTGCAAGCTGAAACAGACCTGCTATGACAAGAAAACTATAAAACCATTTTAAAAAACCCAGATTAAAACCCCAACATTTAGAAATGCTTAAAAAGATGAGAAAATATCCCTTCTATTCTCCTATGCTGAGAAAAGGATGGAATGTCAACTACAAGTCTCCACACTCATATGGAAAATAAATACATCGCTGCTGTGGGAACAAAACCTTGTATCTCCAAAATGAGAACTGTACAGGAGAAGAAAAAAACATATTTTACTTTTATGTAAGTTGATGGAACCAGATGTTTTTCGAAGTCATTTTGGGCAGTTTCTTTTGGTCCATTAATCATTATTATGTATCAGTAATCAGTATTTTCAAATTATGTCAAAAACTGAAAAACAACAAAAATGGAGATAAGCAGCAATATGTAAAGTGTATGTATCAAATACATTTGAAAATGTTTGATAATGGTCAAAAATGTATTTTTGCTTAACGTACAGTAGTGTTTGAAATACTTTTCGGAATTAAACAATATATTTGAAAAGTATGTCATATATAAAAACACATGCCTATGTATGTCTTATGCTGGACTCTCTCGAGCTGTGATTCAGTCTTTAAGATGTAAATAAAGCAATTCAGAATAGTTTGATATAAAATTAGCCAATCTAGAGAAACTAGGGAGTCACAGTTTACAGCAATGGTGATAGGAACCACATGTCTGAAGCCACTAAAAGCTGGCTGTCATTAGAAGATTACCTGAGATGGTTATGAATATGGTATCTGATGCTTTTAGACATTGTTATACATTAGGTGAAAACATTATTGCATAAATTTAGTTCTGTTAAATCCATTCATGGTGGAGAGCTACATGCAGGGGGTTGCAAGGTGAAATAGTTCCCAAATAAATCTTTTTGTCAGATTTACCGCTGTTTTACCATTACTTAACATTACATATAAAAACTCAGAAGACACTTGTACATTCACAGATTGTTTTGAATAGTAAATAAAATGTCTATATGTGTGTTGTAGATGTCACAACCCTGGTTCCTATCACCACCTCTGTAGAGAATTCTGACTCTTTCAGTTTTTTCTAGAATGGAGCATTTCACATTAAACCACACTGAATGTCTTTGTTTACATCTCAGCCACTGAATTATGCAATTTTTTTTTTTAATTGGTGGAATTCCCCTTTTAAGTTCTCTAAGCTCAGAGGGTTCCATTGCAGGCATTTCAATGAGCTCAACGTTTTCACTTAGGTTTACTGATTGGCTTAAAACATCCATGGACTGCCTAAGAGTGTCAGCTGTGAGGCAATTGCAGTACAGGAGGGTGTGGTCTGTCTGAACACAGGTGGTTTGAACCATGACCCTCCTCTTTTACCTGCTCGGCCCAGTAAACAGGTCCTGTCCTGCACTGATTACATAAAAGTCTATAAAGGAGAGACCCGGCAGCCTTAATCTGCCTCTTTTAGGTGCCTTAATGCGGATATGGCGTCAAAGGGCATCCCTCATTACCTAATTATACGGCATGAACGCACTTCCACCTAGACGGACAGACATTAGGTCAGTTTTGTCAGTGTGAGTTAAATTAGATGTGCAGTTTCAGATTTTGTAAGTGATGATGGATGTAAATGTGTGTGTGCTAGGGTCCTTCCACCTCCCACATTCCTGCAGGGTGGCAGAAAGTCACACACACTGTGTTCCATTATCATGAATGATTTAAATAGTTGTGCGGTGAATAATGGTGGTGCAGTGATATTTGTAGTGCTGCACTCAGGAATGTTTAGACCAGTCTCACTTAAAGTGAGTTTAAAGGCACTTCTGTGAAGGAAAATATAATCAAGCACAAAAACTCCTTTCTGTGTAGTCAGTTTCTGAGTAATGAGGTGTAATATGAAAACACAGACTAATGTTATGGTTGCCAGATGTATGTATAGATCACAATATCATAAAAGCAGCTAATATTATCTTTAATTCTAAAAGAGGTCTGAATTAAATAAATATTTGTAACATTTTCTTCATTTTGTGATTTTATTCTACTGAAATGTTTACAGTTAAATATGAAACATAGTTCACAATAAACTGTAGAGATGTGCAGAAATCAGACATACACATAAATATTACTATTAATTATTATTATTATGTTATTAAAGCCAACCTTTTTACTTTGTGAGTTCATGTCCCTGGTCATAATAACATCTGTGCAGGTGCAATGGAAATTGACTTGGATATTTTTGATCAATATAATCAAATGAATGTTCCCAGTAAGTGTGTAATCAGATTAACTAGGACAGTGTTGGCTCTCTGTGTCTGAAATGTTGTGACATTGTATTGAGCTGCTAGTGAGCAATGAGGGGTGATAGGGGAGGGTTTAGAACCCCCTGCTTTGAAAACAGTTTACATCTCTCCACAAAGACAGCAGTGCCAAGATTGAACACTCAGCACAACTGCAGATTTCCTGATATCAAAAAAATATGTGCAACTGGCACAATAAAAATGGCATTTAAACACAATAAACCCCTTTTATTAATGTTTATTTAATTGCACGCCTATGTGTTGCTTCCACTTTTTTTAAATTGTACACTTTTTCTTCAAAATGTATTCTGTCATTGTTATTGGTAAAAAAAAATTGCATGTTTCAACTGTGGGACCTCCAAAACAGGCAGAAATTGCATATTATTTTTATTTTTACTGCGAAAAGAGATTGAGCACAACTCATCCTATCGTTTAAAAAACAAAATGCCTGTTTTTCCATAATCTTCCATCAGATTGTAATGACTTTTGCTCATCCCTAAATGTATCCTCACTTCACCATCATGTTTCACTCGGAAATATGTTAACAAATTATACTGTAGGCAAGGATATAGAAAATAAAGCACTAATGGATTGCATAGTAGAATAGAATAGAATAGAATGAACTTTAAGTGGGTGTCCACTGACAGTTCTTGAGCTGTAGCTAAGCTCTAGTCTTGGAGAACCGCAGAGTGTTTTCCCTCCTCTAATACATCAAGTTCACCTCCATTAGGCCTTGGTTTTGAGCTGAAGAGTTGATCAAGGCTTTAAGGGAGGGTTAAATGCTTCAACTGGGGGACTGGAGTCTTACACTCCCTCTTGTGTGTCTCCACAATGGTTTACTGATTCCTAATGAAGATTAGAATAAGGCCTAGTATCAACTTGTCCTGTATTTTCTATCCACTGTTGCTAAAAGGGAGATTCCGATTTTTCAACATTTGTGAATTATTCAGTCATTCAAATGTAAACACAGTTTATTTTGTGAAATGGTTCATTGTAGAGAAAACTACTGATTCTGAGTTCTTTACAGTGGTGGTGACAGGAACCAGGGGCTGCAACAACAATGCAAATTATATTTTCTATCCAAAATGACTAGTAAATCTAGTCATCTAGAGTATTACATATACTTCTTGAGTATATGTAATGTGCAATAAGGTGAAATAGTTGTAAGTCTGAAAAAATTTCTTTGCAAAGTTTTCACTGGGGACTATTTTGCCCACGACTCCCTGCATGTACCTCTCCTGACTTCATTAATATAATATAATAATAAAGTTACTGATTTTATTAGATTCAAATAATCTTTGTTTACAGTGCACACACACACATCCATTCACTCTCTCTATACTCCTGTAACCCGCAGTAGTCCATGGTGTGTAACAGGCTCAGCAGGTGAAGATTATTATAGTAAATGGAAAGTAGCCTGGTCTTAATGCCGTGTAATCAGAAAATGTTACCGACATTGTGCACAGGGTTATGTGCCAGCGTCTCACACATATACACAACAACACACACACACACACACACACACAAGAACAACATGTTGAAATACCAAAGAGCTCTAAGACAGTTCTCAAAATAGCTCATCCTATCAAGGGTCAGTGTCCGACGAGCCAGAGAAACCTGAGCAAAACTCTCAGTTAAAAAACACAGTGACGCTGGATGAAGCACCAAAGATCTAAAGCCACTTGTTCTCAAAATAGCTAAAGGCGCAAGACGATAAGCCTCACACACACACACAAAGAGAGGGAGGAAACATTGAGGAAATGTGAAGGAGAGAGCTAAATATATGATGTAAGATAATGTGAGAATTAATGATTGTGATATGATAATAATGATTCAGTAGAAGGTACGATGATAATAATAAATGCTATAGAATGTCACTATCATCAATTTGATTTTTCAGTCCAGATGAGGTCATTTATTAATGCACATTAATAGAAACTCTTGGAAAATAACTGCCACATTTTGAGAATCTGTTTATTTCTTTGGTGTCTAGATAGGGTTGAATGTGTGTTTGGATGTTCAGTGAGTGTAAAACTGCATCGTATTGTCGTGGTGAGAGGGAAGGGGAGCCACTGCACACTAAATACACACTGTAAACTGAAATGCTTTTGGTTTGATTTGGTTTGGTTTGTTTGGCTTTGTCATTTTGGGCAGTGGCTGCTCTTGCTTTCGTCACACCACAGAAGAGTTTAGGGGCATTGGGAGGTCTTATCTGTTTTCAGCCCTGTCCTGCCTTCAGGTGGGGCTATTGCACTGTTGCTCAGTGAAATATTAAAATAGAAAAAAATCATACACAATTAAAACAAATCCAGACAAAATCAAGTGGTTTGAGCAAAACCTTAACAGTAAATAGAAATAGTTATAATATGTTCCAGACGCTTCCCTCTGGCAGAAGATTCAGGGCTATCAAAGCCAAAACCATTAAAGCTGCACCCTTTAAAGTCAAAATGGAATCAACAAACCTCTTTTCTGCATTACAGTAACTCCTCTGTAACATAATGCTTATTTGCACAGCTGTATACTTCTTTGTTACAAATGTTCATGTCATCCTGTTAGATTCTTACTATAATAATTATTATATTATTTCTATTTCACACGTTTTCTAAACAGCTTACCCTTCTGGGTCGCGGGGGGGTACTGGAGCCTATCCCAGCAGTCATAGGGTGAAAGGCAGGATACATCCTGGACAGGCCGCCAGTCAATCACAGGGCAGACATTGTTGTATTATATTGTATTATATTATATTATATTATATTATATTATATTATATTATATTATATTATATGTCTTCTCAGACCAGCATTTGTATTGACATTCACATGTGCTCTCATTGACTCTTCATTATATTTTTCTATTCTGTTTATTGTATTCTTATTTTATTTGTCTCTTACTCATACTAATATTTTTAGTAATCTGTTTGCTTGTCTAGTCTGTTCAGTATGTTACATGTCATAAATGTGTGCACTCACCAAGACAAATTCCTTGTGTGTGTAACATACTTGGCAAAATAAAGTAAATAAATAAATACATTTCTTTTCAGATTTGGACTATTACTACAACTAATTCTACTACTACTACTACCACTACTACTACTACTACTACTAATAATAATAATAATAATAACAGTGCCCACTGAAAAAATCTGAGTAGAACATAATACACTCTTAAAAAAGAGCTTTAAAGGTTCTTTAGTGAAGAAGATGGTTCTATAAAGAACCATGAACACTTGAAGAACCATTTGCATGATTAAAAGGCTCTTTGCATCATGAAAGCGTTCTTAAGACTGATGGAGAATGCGCTGTAGATGTAGAAAATGGTTCTATATAGCACCCAAAAGGTTTCTTCTATTGTTATGGTGTCTAGCTTAAAACAATAGACGAACCCTTTTGGGTGCTATATAAAAAAGAGCTCATTCATACACATTTTCTATCAACCTGAAGAACACTTTCATGATGCAAAGAACCCTTTAATCATGTAAAGGGTTCTTTGAGTGTTTATGGTTCTATACAGAACCATTTTCTTTACTAAAGAACCCTTGAAGCACCATCTTTTCTTAGAGTGTAAGGTACTGCTCATTGTTTAGAGTATAATGACATTATTTCCTGGAAGTATTAAGCTAATCTGAGAGGGTCAGTCTGGAGGCCTTCAGTGATTTTGCATGGATTGACCCAAAAGCTAAAGTGAATTTGTGTCTCAGGCCCAGACTGGGCCAGACTGAGTGATGTGGATTACAGAGTGATGCAGTTGTCTGACGCAAGGCTCATACTGCCCCTCCTGATCGGCTGGTATTGCTGTACTACCTGTACAAATTAACGGTAAAAAACGGTATAGCTGTGTGTGTGTGTGTGTGTGGGTGTGGGTGTGTTACTGTGATACTTTGGTGTTGCCAGATTGGGTAGTTTCCTTCCTAATTGAACTAGGAAAACTGGCCTAAGGCTGCTTTTGAGTTAACTGGGCCCACTATATTAATGTATATCAGTTTTATTTAAATGCAGTTTTATCATTTTGAGTGGCCAGGTATTGAAATATGCTACAGTTTGCTCTCTTCAAGAAATGAGTTTGTGTATAGGTAAGACAATTTAATATTCAATTCATTGCAACATTTAAACCTGTTACAGTTCCTTTACAGAGTCATAAAAAAAGTGGTGTGAAAGTGGTGTGAATGTGTGTCCAGTGGAGTTTCAAACAAACAAAAACTCTGCTTTGCATTTTACTAAAAAATTGCAATATTAGAGAAACTTATCAGACTACTTATGATGCTTTGATCTTTATTAAATGTATACTTTAACTTTAACAATAGTAATTTTATTTAGTGAATGTGTGCAGATCTGCATAAAATCCATAACTCAATTGGTACTGAGCTTATGAAATCTAAATGGCTTTTTGTAAGGAGTTTGCTCATTTATCTTCTTTCATCTTTGGTTTTAGTTACTTTAGAAACTTTGTTTTTGGGGTGATTTTATAGTTTTTACTGTTTAAAAACATAAACTACACTACATTCATTACAAAGCTATACTTGTACAAGTCTCAGCATTTGAACCGGAAAAGCCACTTCGTCAGAATTTCTGCCTGCCCGGCTCACAGTGAACTGTGCGGGTTTTGAATCAGGGTTGGGGTGGAATCAGTAAATCTGGCAACCTGCGCGCTACCGGAGAGGCGCTGCAGCGCTAACATAATATAAAACTGAAAACGCTCCAGAAAAGCATTCAGCACGGATTTCCTCTGGGATAAACGAACCGGCCTGGCTGCTAAAACGGTAAAGAAACGCAACCTGTGAGATAGAGATCTTTATCAGATTTATCTGAGTAGGAGACGTTAAAGTTCAGAGAGCAGGCCCAGCGTTAGCATGAGCTAAGCTAACACACCACAACAGCATGAAAGCTGCAGGTTAAATAACACAAACAACACTATTCTGTTCATATTACTGTCACATAGTAAATATTAGAGTAAGAAAACCACAGACTGTCACTAGATCCCATTTAAATGATCATTTTAATTACATAATGCGAACCAGTCGTCTAGTAGGTTAGCTACAGCGCCCTGCTGCTAAACTTGCTAAGTTAACATAAACATTCACGTTACTGCATTAAAATACTAAATCCCGTTTACACAAACATGGTTGTTGTCGTCAGCTGATGTTCACCAAGCATCCTTCACCCTCTAATACAGCTAATCTGAGTTTTGAATCCATGTACGTTCAATTGAGTGAATAAACTAACACCCGTTGAAGTTAATGTGAGTGTATTTTTATAATTTTGGTTTGCATTTAAAGGTGTAGATGGAAGATTCGACATTTTGAGGATGAGGGTTTCATATGGCCGATTTCCTAAGGGGAAGTGGTTTCAAAAAATGACACTGCGTTCCCTCGCAATAATTTTGCATTTTTTGCAAATGTTTTTCATCCCCTCGCAATAGTTTTGCATTCTCATGGAAATGTTTTTAGTCCCTCGCAATAATTTTGCATTCCTTTGCAAATGTTTCTCAATTCCTCACAATAATTTTGCATTCCTTTGCAAATGTTTCTCAGTTCCTCACAATAATTTTGCATTCACTTGCAAACGTTTTGCATTCCTTTGCAAATGTTTTTCATTCGCTCACAATAATTTTGCATTCTTTTGCAAATGTTTTTCATTCCCTCGCAGTTATTTTGCATTCTCATGGAAATGTTTTTTAGTCCCTCGCAATAATTTTGCATTCCCTTGCAAATGTGTTACATTCCCTCGCCATAATTTTGCATTCCTTTGCAAATGTTTTTCATTCCTTTGCAGTAATTTTGCATTCTCTTGCAAATGTTTTTTAGTCCCTCGCAATAATTTCGCATTCACTTGCAAATGTTTTGTGTTCCTTCGCAATAATTTTGCATTACCTTGCAAATACAATGGATTTAAAAAAAAAATGCAATCCTTTTGTGAGGGAATGCAAAACATTTAGCAAGTGAGCACAAAAACTTTGTGAGGGAGTGGAAAAATACTGCAAGGGAATGCAGTGTTATTTACATTTTTTTCCCACAATGGCGCTTTAGGGTCTCAGTATATTTGAACAGGAAAATTAAAAGCTATAAAAGCGTCTCTCTCCACCTTCTCTTGCGGCTCTGCACTGGGTGTTTCTAAAAGGCTTAATGTGGGCAAAAAAGCATAATGTGAGTTAATGTACTAAAACAATGGCTTTGGAGCATCAAATTTCTGTCACACCTTACTGCTCATAAACACTGTTTACTGCCAAAAAAAATGGTGCAATAATCGAAAAACACATTAAGATCAGTGTTAAGCTTTTTCCTTTCTATTGTAACCTATTATGGGGAAAAGCTTAATGTGAAGCTTTGTTTATTTCTGTCCTTAAAAAAAAAGCTTATTGTAACACTTTGTTTTTAAGTTGTGGGATCATCCTTTTGGCTGTAGGCATTGTTTATAAGCAGTAAGATATGAGAAAAGTTTGATGCTTCTAGACTGTTGCCCTGCTACATTTAAATATAATTTAAATAGTTATATGAATGAATCTAGAGGTCTTTTATCAGCAGTTTAATCTTATATCAACAATATAAGATCTAACATGCTATATATGCACTTATGAATGACCCCTTGTACACTGACGGTCTGTAGTTGTGTTGTGTAAATTGTGTGTAAATGCGGTCAGCTTTGTGGAAACAGGTACAGGTGTGTGTGTTATCTCTGTCTGTTCACAGATGCCTCACTCTCGGCGATACTCATCTTCTGAGAGGGGCAGCCGCGGAAGTTACAGGAGCCGATACCGAAGCCGCAAGCACCGGCGCAGGCGGCGCACTCGAACCCGATCCCGATCTGGCTCGTCAGGATACCAGCGGGAGAGGAGTCGCAGCAGGAGCCATAGCAGAGAGCGCGGAGAGAGGAGAGGAGCCCGCAGGAGAGAAAACAGCTACCAGCTCTCCAGAAGGTGAGTTTGTGTGTGTGTGTGTGTGTGTCAGGCATAACATTCTGACCACCTCCTTGTTTCTAAGCTCATTGTCCATTTTATGAGCTCCACTTACTATATAGGTGCACTTTGTAGTTCTACAATTACAGACTGTAGTCCATCTGTTTCTCTGCATACTTTGTTAGCCCCCTTTTACCCTGTTCTTCAGTGGTCAGGACCCCCATAGGCCCTCACAGAGCAGGTACTGTTCGGGTGATGGATCGTTCTCAGCACTGCAGTAACACTGATGTGGCGGTGGTGTGTTAGTGTGTGTTGCGCTGGTCTGAGTGGATCAGACACAGCAGTGCTGCTGGAGTTTTTAAACACCTCAGTGTCACTGCTGGACTGAGAAAAGTCCACCAACCAAAAATATCCAGCCAACAGCGTCCTGTGACCACTGATTAAGGACTAGAGGATGACCAGCACAAACTGTGCAGCAGCAGATGAGCTGTTGTCTCTGATTTTACATCTACAAGGTGGACTGACAAGGTCATAAGGTTATGCCTGATTGGTGTATGTCATCGTGATTAAAATTATATTCAATAATGTATGCTCTCATTTCATGGCCAAATAAAATTCTCTGGTTGTTTACAAGTGTAAAAAGCCAGAAAGCCTGGTGTATTGTTTTGTGTATTCCACTGCTGTGTTCCTCCAGTCACTTTTGTGTATTTATTGTATTGTTAAAAGTAATTCTTACCAAAATAATCTTATCAGATGAAATTGTGGAAAAAAAAAAGATTTTCTGATGCATTCATTTGTTTCCTGTTATCATTGTAAGGTCAAAGATTTCCACTGTGTATAGTGTTTTTTTCTGAAAATTCAGTTACACACACCCACACACAAAGATCTATGCTCTCTTACAGTTGGCTCACATTTTGAAAGGCACTCAATCTGTTATAACTTGAGAAGTACCATCTGTTCATCTGTTGCTGATGATGATGGTTTCAGTTTCTGAACTTCACTTATCATATACAAGCAAATGTTGTTAGCACTGTATTCAAGCCTGACATGTCACATGGATGTATTTGTTTCATTCTTTTCCATCTAATGTTACGCTGAAACTGGATAATGTTAACCGTCTGATGAAATGCCCCAGTTTAGAATGACTCTTGAGATGAAATAAATACTTATTGTCATAAAAATAACTAATTAATTGTCTCACTGAGACCTTGAGACCTTTATCACTAGTACAGAGGACTGTAATATTGTTGGTATAGTGCTGGTATCAGTATTACTGTACTGTAGTGCAGGTATTTGTATTATTGGTACTGAGTAATGTAGTGCTGGTGTCAGTATTACTGAGTACTGAGTAATGTATTGCTGGTGTCAGTATTACTGAGTACTGAGTAATGTATTGCTGGTGTCAGTATTACTGAGTACTGAGTAATGTATTGCTGGTGTCAGTATTCCTGGTACTGAGTAATGTATTGCTGGTGTCAGTATTACCGAGTACTGCGTAATGTGCTGGTGTCAGTATTACCGAGTACTGCGTAATGTGCTGGTGTCAGTATTACTCGTATAATGTAGGGCTGGTGTCAGCATTACTGTAATTACTGTAAGTGACCCTTAATTATTAGTAATTAAGATTACGTGACCCTACTACTCACTTTACTGATAAAATCAATACTACTAGAGCCCTTTAATGCAGGTATTAATATGTTTGGTCTTAACAGTACTTAATTGATTGTGTCGATATGTCCGATACTAATAGAGCACTCTATTGTTTTATCAGAATGTCTGATACTAATAGAGTGCTCTATTGTTTTATCAGAATGTCTGATACTAATAGAGTGCTCTCTTGTTTTATCAGAATGTCTGATACTAATAGAGCGCTCTATTGTTTTATCAGAATGTCTGATACTAATAGAGCGCTCTATTGTATTATCAGAATGTCTGATACTAATAGTGCGCTCTATTGTTTTATCAGAATGTCTGATACTAATAGAGTGCTCTATTGTTTTATCAGTATGTCTGATACTAATAGAGCGCTCTATTGTTGTATCAGTATGTCTGATACTAATAGAGTGCTCTATTGTTTTATCAGTATGTCTGATACTAATAGAGCGCTCTATTGTATTATCAGAATGTCTGATACTAATAGAGCGCTCTATTGTTTTATCAGAATGTCTGATACTAATAGAGCGCTCTATTGTTTTATCAGAATGTCTGATACTAATAGAGCGCTCTATTGTTTTATCAGTATGTCTGATACTAATAGAGCGCTCTATTGCTTGTATCAGTGTCTGACACTAATAGAGCAGTTTATTGCTTGTGTGAGTATGTCTGATACTCATACGGTACTTTATTGCTGGTATCCCTGTTTCTGGTACAACTGGAGTGCCTCACTGGTGGTATTAATATTGCTGGAATTAATATAATAGTGAGAGAACTTGGACTGTATTCATAATATGAGTTTCATGGCTTTGTATTTGTGGTGTGTGTGTGTGTGTGTGTTTATGTTAGTTATGAAAAGCGGTCACCTGACCGCAGGCGTTACTATGACGATGAGCGGTTGGAGTACAGCTGTGCAGGACGCAATGTGGCCGACTCCTACTATACACACACCAGTTTCAGCCGCCGTTCCAATGAGCGCAGGCACGAGCGAGGCAGCAGGGGGCAGCGTGAGGAGAGAGGCAGCAGGACTGGACGCAGACACCCGCGTCGCAGAACCAGGACGAGAAGTCGCTCTAGAAGCCGCTCTCGTAGCCAGAGCCAGTCTTTATCCTCGGTGAGAACTGTTTCGTACTCCTCTCTCTGACCAGCTCCTCTCTCTACAGGACACCCCACCACAATTCTCTCCATCTCTTTCTTTGTTTGTCTCTGTGTCTTTCTTTCTCTTTCTTTATTTTTCTCTAAATATCTGTGCTTCAGCGCTGTTGAAGTCTCAGCTCATTTTATGTTGTCTGTAGTGTTTTACCTAGACAGATATTATTAATGGTTGATATTGGTTGTTGATGTGGTTGGTTACAAGCCAGTGCCAAGTGGACACTACACAACAGAATTGCTAAGATGCTCACACTAAGTGACATTTATTTTATGTCGAAATAGTGATGTGCACATGTAGACAAGGCTCACACACTACATGATGTGGAGAGTGGAAGTACATGTGAGGAGTGTCTATCATGTGCCAAACTGGACATTAAGAAACTTTTGTTGTTTCTTCAGACAAAATGAAAGAAGTGAACGAAAAATCTATTTCATTTTCAAACTTGCTTTTTCCATAGCCCACTGACACCTGCTCCATTTTCTGGGTCCATACAGACCATCACAAGCACAGAGGACAAAGGTGCTGCGAATATTTACTCAGATGCTCCAAAGTCAGCCACAGTGGCAGAGATGAGGAGGCTTAGCCAATACTCACAGATTTTTTTTTTCCCCCAATAACCCCTTCACTATGTTTGATTTTGTTTAGGGTGCTCTAGCTTTGCTCCCTAAGAGTTTTCTCTCATGCTTTGATTGGACGCTGTTCATCACTGCTCCTGTTACTTGTCACAGAGATGCTGCCACTTATCTGCAAAAATTTAAACATGTTTGAAAATATCAGGTCATCTGCTACAGCTCACAGATTGAGAAAATCATGTCACTGAACTGTTCACACTACATTAGCGGTTCTCAAGGGCGCATGCAGCGATTTGTTGCCAAGCTAGGGGGGCTGTTGCAGATCTGTGACAGGAAAATTTGGGCTAAAATCGTGTAGTGTGTGCTCAGTTTAACTTGCCATGACTCTCACCAGCCTAGTCTACTAAATAACCTTCATAGGGACTACAGGTTAAAACAGCCCATATGCTGTTTTGATTATGGACCTGCACTAAACAATACAGCATAAATGCTAGATTTTGTAGTGTCTGTATGAAATGCTGTGTATAATAAGCAGCAAAAGAGAGACTGAAAGTACATGTGACCTCTGCAGCAGTGTTTGCTGTATGCAGCCAGTATAAAAGGCTTCCGTAGTGCAGGAGCTTTAGTAGTGCAGCATCAGTGGGCTGCAGAAACAGGACAGCTACTACTAAAGAAATTGCACACTGTATATTTTACTATATGTTTTCTTTGCCTGTAGTACAGTTTACATATATTTCTCTCTTGTATCTGACTTTTTATACTTGACTGTTCAAATTTTAAGTTAAATATAACCAAATCTGATGTGTATTGTCAGATTGTAATTGCAATGCTTGCATAATCACATTAGTTGCTGTAGTTATTACGCATGCGTGTATATACTGACTAGGCAAAACTTGTGACAATAATGACAATAACTAGCTAATAGAACAATCCCGCTGTATTTCACAACAGCATTTCACTTTTCATTACCTATAACATGAACAGAATATGACATTAATTGTAGGTATTACATACTAAGGCTTATTATTCAGTAACTACAGGAACTTCAGGCTGGCTGACCTGTTCTTGGGTTATAGGAGTGTGTAATAAAAATCTTATTGCATTTAAGGGGTTAATGAAGCAGTAAACTGTAAACTACAACAGACAAAGTAAAACAGAAGTGACCTAAATGTCTGTTAAGAGCTTATACTCTCTGTGTTTTAGGCTGTAAAGTTGTGAATGTACACAGCTTTCGTGTTGCACATTCTGACATGAAAAACTGCCACACCCCAACTGACAAAAAAAAAATGCTTGATATCTGATCTGACTGGTTAAGCTGAGTCACGTATCCAGAAATGCGATTTGAATCAGATTTGGATCCACCTACATATCCATATTTTTGCTGAGTTTAAAATAAAACACACCATGTTAAATGTGCTATAACTTTTACATATGCCACATTTTATGTTTTTTCCCCCCAGTATGTTAAATTAGGCAAATAAACAGTAAATGTGCTTTATAAAATGGATAGTTCTGGTCATAAAATATGTTGTAAAATTCACAGTATACACACGCCTATGACCACCATACAATAGCTGAATTGTGCATTACTGCGCCAATGAAAAATCCTTCTGCTGTTATTGAATAAGAAATCATTTTAGACTCTAATGCTGCTCACATGGACTACCGAGTCTACTGATGAAGTAAGAACGTGTTTTTGTTCAAACTGAGGGGCTTACAACTTATTTTCTTAACCAGAACTAGGCGCGTCAGCTAGCTAACTGGCTAAAAGATAGCTAACAGGCTAAACAATCATTAATATCACAGGCTTGAATTAAAGTACTTACAATATATTTCACTGTAAACTGCAATATAAATGACACATGAATGGCTTACACACTTCACATGTCCATGTTTCAGTCAAAAGTAGCATCAAACCCAGGCTGAGTCTCAAATGGCTCTGTACTCCCTAAATAGTTTGCTGTGTACCTTTTCTACAGCCACATACTGCACTATTTGTAGAGTATGGATGTGGCTGAATCCCAAATAACTATTTCTTTTTTTTTTTTAGCTACATCAAGCACTGTTTGTGGTGCAGGAGCCATTATTTAAATTCTTACGTAGTACACTATGTAGGGAGCAAGGAGTTATTTGAGGTTCAGCCCCAGCGTGAGAAGAGGGGCATCACTGGATTGGCGCTATATAAGACTCATGGTGGTAATTTGGTGACCAAGAAGTACTTATAAAGCGAGGGTCTTTGCAGTAAACAGTGCTGTTTTGACGTGCTCGTTATTGTATGATTAAAAAGATAAAAAGGGATGGACAGACAAAGAGAGTGCACAGAATGTGTGTGAGTGAGAGAAAGTGGGTAGAGTGTGTGAAGGAGAGAGAGGGCAGTGTGTCTCTATGAGAGAGAGGGTTAAGAAGGTGTGAGGAGGCCAGCTGAGGTAACTAGATCTCTGAGTGCTGGACCTCAAAACATCGATGGGTGTCTCTGGATTTTCCCAAGACGCCATGAAGCGTTTAAAATTAGACCAAGTCTCACACACTCCTCCTCCGGACCCTTCACTTCTCCCCTTCCCCTCCGACTGTCTCTCTCTCCCTCTTTCCCTCTTCCTGTCTTTCTCTTTCCCTTCTTGCCTTTCCCCCCTCTATTACTCCTCTGTTCTCTTTTCCCGTCTTTCTTCTCCCCCCACCAAGCCCACCCCCCCTCCCTTAGTAGTGTGTGTGTGGTGGAATGGGGAAGGCAGGTGTATATTCCATGTGTAAGGGCTTTCTGGGCTGCCTCTGCTTCTGCTCTGTGAGTAACTGCCTCAGGGTCCGTCTTCCTCAAACACTCATTGTACTTCTTTCTTTGTGCTATGTAAGTGTGGGTGAATATCTCTCTTTCTCTCTTGGTCTGTCTGTCTCTCTTTTGTGATTTTTGGCATGACAAATAACAATAGTTTGATATTACCAAATCATGCGGATAAAGGATAGTGCAGAACTTTGTACATTATCGTTATTTATTATGTTAATTGTGCATTCAAATTTGAGAAACAAAAGGCTCTCTCTCTGTCTCATATAAGGTCTTTGCTTTTTATATTAGGTTATCTCTATGTCGGTTAATGTTTTTGTGGATCTTGCTTATGTAGTTGCTGTGTGTTTTTTGTTTTATCTCTCTCTCTTTTTGGCTATCTCTGCCCTAGCGAAGTGACAGTCGGGCGCAGGCGTCAGCTGTTCAGGATGATGAGGAGGGTCACCTGGTTTATCGAGCAGGAGACGTGCTGCAAGACAGATGTATGTAGAAGGCACTGATTGTCCTCTTTCTGCATTAACCTGTGGAGCGTTTCAGTAGCAGTAACCTGTAGGCCGTTTCAGTGGCATGAACCTGCTGAACGTTTCAGTAGCTTTAACCTGTGGGGTGTTTCAGTAGCATTGACCTACATGGCATTTCAGTAGTGTTAACCTGCAGGGCTTTCAGTAGCGTCAACCTGCAGGGTGTTTCAGTAGCATCAACCTGCAGGGCGTTTCAGTAGCGTCAACCTGCAGGGCATTTCAGTAGCATTAACCTGCAGGGCGTTTCAGTAGCGTCAACCTGCAGGGCATTTCAGTATCGTTAACCTGCAGGGCGTTTCAGTAGCATTAACCTGCAGAGCGTTTCAGTAGCAGTAACCTGTAGGCCGTTTTAGTAGCATCAACCTGCTGGACGTTTCAGTAGCTTTAACCTGCGGGGTGTTTTAGTAGCATTGAGCTACATGGCATTTCAGTAGTGTTAACCTCTGCTCTTATTTGCTTACCATATAGAGCCTGAGGGTGTTTCTGTAGGGTTAATATGGGGTAAGAATTTCATATAATATTAAGCTGCAGGACATTTCATTGTAGTAAACCTGCATGGTGTTTCAGTAGATTTAACTTGTGTGGCATTTCAGCATTGAGGGGTGTTTCAGTAGTGTTAACCTATGGGAAATTTCAGTACTTGCAAGCCATTTCAGTAGCGCTATTTTGCAAAACATTTGAGTAGCTTTAATCCACTGGATGTTTCAGTAGCTTTAACCTGCGGGGTGTTTCAGTAGCATTGACCTACATGGCATTTCAGTAGTGTTAACCTGCAAGCTGTTTCAGTAGAATTAACCTCTGTTAATTTTTAAATCATTTTCCAAATTGAATTTTGCAAATAACTTCTCAGTTATTATTTTTTCACCAGATTTTTAATTCTTCTTCTGCGTTCATTTATGTGTCCTTTATCTCCTGGTGTCTGTGTGTCTCTCCTGCACAGATGAGATCGTGAACACGCTGGGAGAAGGTACTTTTGGCAAGGTGGTGCAGTGCATCGACCATCACCGGTTAGTTACACATGCACACGTACACACTCAGCCCTGCAGCGCCCCTGTCTTGCACTTTTAGTATGTTTTCCTGCTCCAATACCCCCACCCCTCTTTTACACTCATCAGGTTCTTTGAACTGAGCTGAGATGCATCAGGTGCATCAGAATAAAAAAGCTCTAAAATGTGCATGACTCATCTAGGAGTTACACTCAGTCACACGGGCGTAGATAAAGATGCAATGTGTTTTTTAATTCCCACTGATTTTTCAAATAGATTTCTTTACAGTGTTGATGATAGGAACACAGGGTGGTGACAAGGATCACAATTTCTATAATATACATTCAACCATTTTATTCATTATTCAAAACAACTAGTGAATCAACACGTCTCCTGAGTTTTTATATGTAATATTGATAATGATAAAATAGTAGTAAATCTCAAGTACTACTTTGTGTTCTAATTTGCATTACAACATCTAGAATGTACCTCTCTGCCTTGGATGGATCTGTAAGTTATCATAAAAACAATGTCTCAGGTATCGGTCATTAAACACTTTAGACGTCCAGTTGCTATCACCACCTCTGTTTACGGTTGACAAGTTTCTCTAGAATGGAGCATTTCACATCAAACCACTTAACTGATAACTGAAAATCTTCACTATTGAACTTTTTTATTTGAATTCTCCTTTAAATGGTTTTGTTTCTCTGTGTGTGTTTGTGTGTGTGTAAAGGGGAGGTTCTCGCATTGCTTTGAAGATCATTAAGAACGTTGAGAAGTATAAAGAGGCCGCTCGGCTGGAGATCAATGTTCTGGAGAAGATAAGAGAAAAGGATCCAGAAAACAAATAGTGAGTCCAGCTGTCTGTCTCTCATTTTCAGCATGTCTCATAAACAGAAGCCCTGAACCAGAAAAAATGTGATAAAATATTAGTTTCTAATCTGCTTGTCACTGATTAATTAATCTCTCTCTCTCTCTCTCTCTCTCTACCAGTCTATGTGTGCAGATGTTTGACTGGTTTGATTATCATGGTCATATGTGTATCAGCTTTGAGTTGCTGGCCCTCAGCACCTTTGACTTCATGAAGGAGAACAACTACCTGCCCTACTCACTTTGCCAGGTCCGCCACATGGCCTACCAAATCTGCATCGCCGTGAAATGTGAGTAGACATGCACACAGATGGTCTGTCAGGTGTCGAGGGCCCTGCAGGTGTGTATGTGGAGAATACACCCTCAGACTCTGTTTGTGCTCCTGGTGTCTGGAGTTCTTTGTAGTGTAATGTCCTGCAGTTTATCATCCACTGAACTCCAGATGAGATCATCCAGCCCTCCAGACAGAGCAGTAGTGTGTACAAGCCTTAATCTGCTTTATGTCGTATGGGGCTTTGGGCAGAGGGGGGCGCTGCTGACGGTGTTTACTGTTCTGCTGAACCACACTGGCTGTTGTAAGCACAGGGATGCTGAGTTTTCTGCTGTCATCATCCTTCTCTTCCGTCACAGTTCTCCATGACAACAAGCTGACGCACACAGACCTGAAGCCGGAGAACATCCTGTTCGTCAACTCAGACTTCAGCACAAGCTACAATGCAGAAAAGGTGAGAGCCATGATGTTGGAGGCATCATAGCTGCAAAGAACTCATACAGTTTTCCATTAAAAGGTGTCATAAGAAAACTCTTTTGAATCCTCTTTATTCCGTTTATTTCTTTACACCATTTGGAAACACCAGCTGCCTTTTGCCTTGTGTGAATATTTAATGATGAATGGATCAATGTAAATTTTGAATAGTAAAGTTTTTACCCTTTTACCTATTAACAGATTTTTATTTTTTTTTGTTAAGAACATTTTTTCTTGTCCTATAAACTAAAAACAGCTGCATTATGTAAATATGAAAGGTATGATTGTGCATTATGAAGTGTAATTCAAACATGATTGCTCCAGAGCTCCATTGGAAGGCGAGATTGACTCCTTTCTTCTCTCACACTACTAGATCATCTGCAGCGTCACCTTGCTTCTGATTGAGCTCCCTACCTGGAAAATCGATGTAGATGATGAAAATTTGTCAAAACGGGCTAGAAATCGTGTTGTGTGCACCCAGCTTAAATTGTACTGAACAGATGTAGTATTGCATGTTGGACATATCAAGTGTATGTGTGCACACAGAAGCGGGAGGAGCGTGTGGTGAAGGACACGGCAGTGAGGGTAGTGGATTTTGGAAGTGCGACCTTTGACCATGAGCACCACAGCACCATCGTTTCCACCAGGCACTACCGAGCCCCCGAGGTTATTCTAGGTAATGTGTGTTTGTTCCTTGTGTGCCATGTATCTTGTGTTTTATCAATGTGTTATGTTTTAGTGTGTGTATTGTGTGTTGAATTTTTGCTGGTCCACATGTTCCTCCATTGTGTGTGTTTGTCTGTGTTTGCAGAGCTGGGTTGGAGTCAGCCCTGTGACGTCTGGAGTATCGGCTGCATTCTGTTCGAGTATTACCTCGGATATACACTCTTTCAGGTACTTTGTGTGTGTCTTTACAGGGAATGTGATTGTTTGTCCTTTACAAATGTCTCACATGTAGGGGAAATACAAAAATGTTTCTTTTAGTATTATCAAAGTTAACACATTAACTAATAAGTCATTAATGTCAGTGTTTTCTATTGTTGTTAACATATCTTCTAGTTTGACCTGAAGCCCATCTGCTATGACTCCATGACTAGCACTCTCATTCTAATACAGCTTATAAATGGGACGTTCTATTGATGGCACTCTGGATAAAACTAAAGTTTTTTACAGCTAGTGTATTATCATGAATTTGAAAACGCAAACGATTTTCAAGTTCAGCCTCATGTGAACCCTGCATTCACATGTTGAGGATAATGTTATTGAATAAATGACAGTGAAAAAAAATACAGTCCACTCATATAGCCATTACAAAATGCACTGCGTTAAAAAATCTTTTTTAATTGTAATAAATTATTGTAATTAATCTAGTTTCTTTGCATCTACTATATCTAATTTATTCAGTTAACACTGTGTGTCTTTGTGCTTGTGTGTGTGGCTGCATGTATGTGTCCTTGCAGCAGTTGTGTCATGGGCATGATCCTCATCTCACTGTCCTTGAGTTTTTCTGGACTGTGTGTGTTACTTATATATGTTTTCTAGAGTGTGTGTGTGTGCGCTTGACATTTACAGATGTATTCTTGTTTCAGACACATGATAACAGAGAGCACTTGGCCATGATGGAGCGAATACAAGGACCAATCCCCTCCAGAATGATCCGCAAAACTAGGTCTCACATTCAGACACACACACAGAACAAACACAGTCTAACCATCTCCAAAACATCAAAAGTGTATTTTGTACAGTAAAGTTGTAGCATGCTACTGGAATAAAATGTAAAAAAAAAAAACTGCTACTTCAAGCATATGTGGCTGCTACTGTGCAATAGTGGCACAGCATCACTGGCAAAGCAGAATGTGTCTGTGACACTTTAACAGTCGCATGTTATGGTAAAATGCCACTGAGGTCCTGCAAGTGTGACTGATGTAAAGCCTGAGCATTAGCATCTGGGCTGCACGATAAATCGTATTTTTAGGATTATTGCATTGGGATTTTTCACAAACACATTAAGAGAACGGGCCAGACTATCTCACAAACAGCACCAAATGTAATTATTTTGGTGGGAACTAGGCCTGGACAATAGGGTGATTCATATCGAATATTGTCAATGATTGATGAGTAATTTGATGGTGATGCATAAAAGGTTGTAATCACAATGTTGAGAAAAGAATTGAGAGAGAACTGGAGAGGACTCTTTCACCACTAAACAGCCTGCTAAATATGCTGGAGTTTACGTTCCTTTAAGAAGTGTGCGGGCTACGAACTGTAATCCTAGCTTTATCTGCACAGCTCTTCCTTTTCTGCTTATTTTACTTTATGTTAAGCTTAGCTTAAGTGCATGGAATCAAAGATCAGTGCCGTTGTGCTTAGGAACTTCAACATATGACTCACTACAGTAAAACAACCAAGCTAACCAAGCTTCTCTCCTGGAGAGAAGGTGCCTCTGGTCCCCATCTGGAATGGCCAATTAAAAAAACACACACATGTGCAGGTCAAAAACTACTCTATTCTGAACCACTAGCCTGCAAAAATACTTAAACATGACTATTCTCACTCTTGGTGTTGTGTGTAAAATGCATAGACTGTATGGTAAAATGTATAAAGCAGTGATGGCTTCTGTCACAACAAATCTGCATCATCATAAGGAGCTTTTTAAGGAATTATGTATTTATTTGTCTTTGTGGGCCTATATTGAAAATAAAAATACACATATTTTACTTATTTATTTTTATTCACTAACACCTTAGTGTCTATCTGCTGCAACACACCTCAGTTTGTCGGCTCATCATCAAGCCTTCCCTGCGTCAAATCGGTAGAGGAGGCAGAGCTAACAGATGGAGAAGCTGTGTGGTGATGAATTTAGGCTGGGCACAGTCATCTGCTGATTAGTGCTGTGTTTGAGTGTATTTGGGTTTTTGTATTTTTAGTGTCTAATTTGCTGTTTTACATGTTGTGTCTTGTATTTTCTGTCAGTGCTGTTCCCTCAAGGTTTTCAGTACAGAGTGCCAGAACAGTGTGCTGTTTGTTTGTGTGTGTTTGTGCAATTTAGTCTGTGTGTGTGTATGTATGTGTGGTGATGTGTGCTCTTGTGTGTGTGTGTGTGTGTGTGTGTGGTGGTGTGTGTGTGTGGTGTGTGTGTGTAATAACGTTTGTTCTCGGCCTACAGGAAGCAGAAGTATTTTTACAGAGGCAGGCTCGACTGGGATGAGAATTCCTCGGCAGGAAGATACGTCAGAGAGAACTGCAAACCTCTGCGTGTGAGTCTCACAGACATGCATACATATTGTGGTATGTGGTATGGCCAAAATATAATATCATGGTATAATTAAGACTTTACAGTATACACTGACCAGCCACTTCATTAAGTACACCTCCTTTTATGTACATTCTTTGTCCATTTTATCAGCTCCTCTTACAAACACACCTGGAAGTTTGTTAGGATGTGGGATTATGCATATGTCCCATATATACACCAGTCAGCCATAACATTAAAGCCACCTGTTTGTTTCTACGCTCATTGTCCATTTTATCAGCTCCACTTACCATATAGGAGCACTTTGTAGTTCTGCAATTACAGACTGTAGTCCATCTGTTGCTCTGCGTTCTTTGCTGGTCCCCTTTTACTCTGTTCTTCAGTGGTCAGGACCTCTGCAGTGGAGATGACTGACATAGTGGCAGCGTGTTAGTGTGTGTTGTGCTGGTATGAGTGGATCAGACACAGCAGTGCTGCTGGAGTTTTAAAACTCTGTCCACTCACTGTCCACTCTATTAGACATGCCTTGTTTGCCCAACTTGTAGTTGTAAAGTCAGAGACAGTAACTCACCTGCTGTTGCACAGCTCATGTAAGTCATCTTTTAGTCTTTCATCAGTGGTCATAGGAACCACAGGACACTATTGGCTAGATATTTTTGGTTGGTGGGCTATTCTCAGTCCAGCAGTGACACAGAGTTGTTTTAAAAACGCCATCAGCACTGCTGTGTCTGATCTGTTCATACCACTGCAACACACACTAACGTGCCACCACCCCATCAGTGTCACTGCAGTGCTGAGAGTGATCCACCACCCAAACAATACCTGCTCTTTGGTGGTCCTATGGGCATTCTGACCATTGAAGAACAAGGTTAAAGGGGACTTCCGTAATTGTAACTACTATGTGCACCTGTATGATAAGCGAACCTGATAAAATGGACAATGAGTGCAGAAACAAGGATGTATCCTTAATGAAGTGGCCAGTTGGTGTATGCTTAACGTTGTGGCTTGTTGCAAGGAGCATTTCCTCAGATCATTGTCACCTAAAGCAGCTGGCTGAGCAAGGGGCATCACAGGCCATGCACACTGAAAGCCAGCTAGTTGGCATGCAAAGCTAAATGCGAATGGCTAACCCAAAAAGACCTGCTTTTTTCCCCCTATCATTCCTCACTTTGGCTCATTAACTTATTGCAGTCTATTGTCTGCTCCTTCAACAACAAACTGGAGTAAGTTGCCTCAGACTGTAACTCAGTACACGGGAAATGGGAGACTTGGCCTGTTTTGCACTGCTTGTATGTTGAGTTATCTGCACTTATTTGTGGCAATGGCCACAAGGTAATGGCCAAACTCATACCTTATGAAGAATTTCACCCGGTATACCAGATGAACCAATATATCACCCACTGCTACACATACACCTACATATGTACTTGCATATCTTCACAAATACTTTAGTAAACATGCTGCCAGTGGAAACATGAATAGTAGCTTGCACTGCTTTTTGCATTACATGAATAAAACCATTATAGAAAAGAACGATGTGTACAATTTTATGTGTTCGCAATTGAGCTAAATGAATATGCAGTTTCTTTAATGGCACAGCATCATTAGCATTCGGCGTCTGCTGAGTCTGAGGTGTCTAGTGTTTTGATAAGCAAAGTTATCGTAACCGTAGAGGTAACATAACATGTAAACCTGAACTAAAGACTTTATAAATATTCTTTGTGTGAGTGTATGCACAGCTGGTGCAACTGGCCCCTGGTGATTACATTCCTGATCTAAATATCAGAACAGCTCTGGTGAGAAGTATCAGGGCAGTGGAGTAGAAACGGTTATTTTTCTTACATATTCATTGTGTATTATGCATTCATGAAATGAGTATTTCGACTCAGAGGATGAATATGAGGCTTCAGGGGGCACTCTGGCCAAAATGAAAAATTTCACTATTGCTTTATCTGTTTCATACATGTCTACTTGCCTCCTACAGTGGTGCAGCAGTGGTGTCTAGAACAATTTTTTCTGGTTTAAGGACTAGGAACCTCCCTCCTCCCCTTCTGATTATGCAAGGCTAATTGAAATGAACTTACGTTACTGCAAGGAAGCCGAATATCACTTCTGTATTTATAAGCCACTGCATCAGTGGCTAAACTAGCAGTCAGGATTTCATTATCGTAGTACAGAAATGGTTTAGTGATATATGTATGTAATGCATGCTGGGTATTGTAGTAAGAGAACATTGATGGACGATTTCAAAGTTCTGAATTCCGTCAAACCAGCGAGGCAGAAGGATGCAATTCTGTGCCAAAGAATTTTACATTACCTGACAAATATGACATTATGTGCAAGTCTGAAGCCAGAATGCCCCTTTAAGTGCAGCGTGTCAGAATTTATTTGTAAGTAATATTTTTCATACAGGCTAAAAAAGGTTTTTTGTCCTCTAATTCATGCTGTGCGTACGTATTTGGATGAATACATTTAAAGCAGATTAGTGCCCTGCAGAATGAATATTTGGTCCCAGATCCTGTTTGGCAAATAACTTTCTTAAATCTGAGACCTGTTAACACCTTAAGACTCTGTGTATCTTTTTTTGAGATGATTTGCTGAGTCGTGACTGCAGACTCCAAATTCCAGTTTCTGCTTGGTTTAAATGTGACCCCTCTCTCTCTCTCTCTCTCTCTCTCTCTCTCTCTCTCTCTCTCTCTCTCTCTCTCTCTCTCTCTATGTGTAGCGGTATCTGTTGTCTGAGGAAGAGGAGCATCACCAGCTGTTTGATCTTTTGGAGGGTATGTTGGAGTACGAGCCTGAGCGTCGCCTCCCTCTCTCCTCCTGCCTGCGTCATCCTTTCTTCTCCTCTCTGAGAGACGCCGAGCATTCCTCCAGCAGCAGCCGCAATGTCAGCCGGTGACCTCCGACCTTTGCTGTTCGTCCTCTACCTCACTTTCTGCTGTTCTTCCTGAGCCATCCGCCTACTCCACCCCTCTGCCACACGACCCCACCTACTCCTTTCAAACTCTCCGCCTTCTCCGTCCTCACAGCCTCGCCATGCTGCCTCTGGTGGGATACTTGGATCAGTTGAACTGTGATTTGATTGACGGCTGCTCCAGCCAGTTGGAACCCTCAGAGGTGAGACAGGGGTCAGCCTGATGGATGGATAGGGCAGAGATGAGGAACCTTTTGTTTTTTGGGTTTTTTTTTGTTTGTTTGTTTGTTTGTTTTTTTTTAGTCCAGAACTCATTGCTGACTGGTGGAGGACTATACTGACCTGTTCACTGCCACCCCAATCTGAGCGCCAATCAGATTAGAGCCTGTCTCATCTGCCAGCCTTACCCCTTTGATAGACAGCTCATCTCTGCCAGCACCATGGACCAACCTGGCACTTAAAGTCATTATACACACACGCACACACCCACACACACAAACTTCAGACCGCTCAGATCTCTGTGTGTTTTGTTACATTTTTCTGTCTGTAATCTTTCACTGTCACACACAGGCTTGCAGTATTTATTTTAAGGAACTGACTTGCATTTTTGTATGAAATGAGATATATATATATATATATATATGTAAATACTGCAAAAGCTTCTCTACAATAAAATGATCTTTCTGTATTCCTCATCTGTGGCCCAACAGCAGAATCTGAGAATCTGCTCAAGGGTGTGTATGTGTGCGGGGGGTGGGGGGTCACTGGAACTGTGTGCTGGTGCTCTTTTGTTTTCTTGGCAATGGTAGTGATGGATTGTGGCGCAGATTAGTTGAGTTAGAAGGCTGTTGGAGAGTGTGAATGAGATGTGCGTGGGTGTGTGTGCATGCTGGCCTTGGCAGTGCTTAGTGAATGAGTTTGATGGTTTTACTGTAATGTCTGCGATATGCTGTGTGGGTGGTATTAGGGTCAGGGTCGTAATTGCATAATCTTACCACACAGATGCTGAAGCCTTGGTCCACGCTTTTGTAACATTTTTACTAATGTAACTCTCTCTTCTCCATTGAAACCACATGCTATTTTCAGTATATTTAAAAGGTCCATATCATGGAAAACCTTGTTAAAGTGTCAAAAAGCACTGTTCACTCTCAGTTCCATACAGTCCATAGATGGAAGCTTAAGCTGTGAAAACAGCCCATTTCAAATGAAATGTTATGCGATGTCACTAGAACCAACACTATATTTATATATACCCTGTATACAGCTTACAGCAGTTTAGCTCCACCCATTCACGTTGAAGTTAAGTGTTTAAGCCCAAACTGCTTTTGAATCAGTCACAATACAGGGCAGCCAATCAGAATAGAGCTCATTTACAGTCTTAAAGGCTCAGTAACAAAAATAACCTGTTTAATTCGAACTCTGTATTCTCGCATCTGCAGTAACTTTTCACCTATTGTCTCCCAAATCGCTTGTCACTCATTACCTGTGGGCATTTCTAGAGCTGACAGTTGGTTATCATGGTTTCACTGACGCATATACATGTACTAAAATACATACCATCCTGTCCAACTTCCAGTGGTAATCGCCATATCACGTCACTCCTAATTTGCATGAAGTTAAACTCGCTCAACTTTGATGTGTTGCCAACTCCAACCATTTCGACTAGCCAACATTGACGCTGCCTCCTGTCACCAGCAATCGCCAGCTCTCACTGAAAATCTATATATTCTTGCCACTTTGTAGCATCATGTCCCTGCTGAGTAAAGCATAAAGAAAGGTTAGAAAATGTTACTGTAAAAATTTGTTGTTTCTGGTACATAAAACCACAAAAATCGTGTACGTGGACCTGTGGAGGAATTCAAGGAGCATGTATGATATGGGCCTTTAAAATTCTTGCCTATTCCAAAACACCTGCTCACATCTCACCAGTTTAATGGCTATCTGTCTCTTTGCACATCCAGTTGAAACTTTTTCTTTTCATCTATAAAGCCCTAAATAGCTTTGTGAACACTGTTTAACTGAGCTTCTTCACCCCAACTCCCCTAGATACACACTTGAGTCCGCTGGCACTTAATTCCTAGTAAACCTTAACTACAGACTGTCCACTGGGCAGATCTTTAAGAATCATTACCCCTACATTATGTGACACTACAACAATTCCACTGATTCTGCTCAGCTTTCCTTTTTTGTACTTCCTGCTTATTCATCATGAAACTAATTGTGCCAGTTCATATTTTTTCCTTGTGCCCTTCTGTTTTTGTTCTATTTTGTGTAACGTTGATGTTGTGCACCTTGTTTCTGTGCAGCGACTTGTAGGAAAAGACCTTATACAAGTTATATACAGATTGGTGATGAAGGAAAAAAACAACAAAGTGTTGAATAGTAAGAAGTTGGACCACCACTAGCTGTACGAATATGCCTTGGTGTAGATTCTACAAGTCTCTGGAGCTGTACTGGAGGGATGTAATACCACTCTTCCAAAAGATATTCCCTTAATTAGTGTTTTAGTGATGGTGGTGGAGAGTGCTGTCTTAACAGGTGCTCAAATGGGTTGAGATCTGGTGATTGCCATACCATCATTTATGTCATTTGTCCTGTTTCATCATAGGGCAAACGTAATCACTCAGAATAACTGTTTAGATTTACAGGAACACTTCCCTGTAAAGGGACAAGTGGACCCAAACCTTGCACCTACAGCATAACAGAGCCACCAGACCCCCTCACAATAGGGGTCAAACATTCAGACCTGTACCATTCTTTTATGCCACACATGCACTCACCCACTTGTGAAGAATATGATGAATGACTCATCCGACTAATCATGATTTTTCCACTTCTCTGTAGAGCGATGCCATTCGGTTTGCAAAAACGAACTCTCAAATGGTCATTCGTCTTTGTAATGAGGGCTTTATGTACTGAAGCCTTTTGACCACAATTTCCATCATTTACTGATGTTTTTCTCATCGATCTAAATGTAGAGGTCACTTTAGTCACTGTATTCAAACAGTTGAGCTCGGTGATGACTTTAAAATTTTAATGTTAGGTTTACAGGCTTTGTTCAGGGTTTTGAGTTTAGAGGTTAGAGTTTGAGGTTTGGGATTCAGTGTTTAGGGGTTAGGTTTTGATGCATAGGGTTTAGAGGTTAGGGTTGTAAGGATTTAAGAGTTAGTGTTTAAGGTTTAGGAGCGTTTAGGAATTAGTGTTTAGGGTCTAGGGTTGGGGTTAGGGTTTGAACTTTAGGGTTTAGAGTTTAGAGAATAGTGTTCAGGGTTTAGAGCAGGGGTGCCCAGTCCTACTCTGTGTAAGGGATGGGATTTAGGGTTCAAGGTTTAGGGGTTAGTGTTCAGGGTCTAGGGTTGTTAATGCTGAAGGTTTGTGGTTTAGGGGTCAGGGTTTAAGATTAGTGTTCAGGGCTTTAGGGTTCAGGTTGCATTCGCTGATCTCATACTTGTCAGTGAAATGTGGACCCCATTGCCGCCGCACCACCACCACTTGTCAGGGCAGTATAAAAAGCTTTTACCCAAGGCTTATAAAACATAACTAAAGTTAATTACTCTGCTCAAATAGTCTTGCATAATAAAACCACTACTCTGGTGTTTTCTCTGAACGCCCTGTGCAAACCTCAGCCATTTAAACATCCCTTCAGTCCAGCCAAATTGAAGACATCTTCCATCTGCTATAATCCTCGTCCACAGAATGGATGCGTTTGTGAATGCTGTGTTTTGTGCTTTAGCTGCAAGTGGTGAATGCTGGATCTTCAGCAGTAAGGCCCTATGTGAGATGAATTTAGACTAACAGTCCCTTTCCTTTCCCATTGTGAGATGGAAACAGCTTTTGCTCTGGCCTTCAGAACCCAGCAGTGACAAGCAAACCAATCGGAAAAGAAAAATGTACAGAGTTTGAAAAAAATCAGGGATGTGGAGTGTGCATGTGTTTCAGCGTCCTAAGAAAATGCTCCTCCATACTGAGGCCCCTATTTACCCCCATGATGACTCGCCTTCACGTGTGGTCACTGATCTCCCCTCAATCCGCTAAGCAGATTACAGTGCTGTGAGCACGACCGTCTGCTTCTCACACCAACTTTCTCTCTCTCTCTTTGTCTCTCTCTCTCTCTCTCATTTTATTGTATAGTTCCTCTCTTCCCTTTATCCTTGCGTTCTTTCTCTGGTGCTGTGCATGTCAGGCAGTCTGTGGTATGTGCTCTAGTGTTTGTGTATGTAATTAATGGTGTCCTCTCCAGTTGGACACTCCAAGGCCGCTCCTGCAGAGTCACTGATAACGGCTTCACACTTCTCTCTCTCTCTTTCACCTCCATCCTCTTTGACCTCTCTGTTTTATTACCTTCTACTTTTTCTGTATTTATATTCCTTCACACCATGGCCGCGTGTATTTGTAATGAGGCTGCCAGTGACACATCCAGACGAGACGTGACGCACATTCATCCGCCCGTCTGCTACACAACGCATTCTCACAGATGCATTTTACCTTTTAGTCAGTGCAGATTTGTGATGGTTTTTTGTTTCGTTTTTATTTCATTCCTACTGACCTCACTGTTCTTCAGAGCCATATAAAACGCTCTGTCTCAATGTCAGCAGCACAAAGCACAGAACTGTAGCGTGATCTCATGCACTGTAGGAGACTGTAAATATCAGTGTAATCAAATGAGATCAGATAAGATAATGACTCAGCAAAAGCTGAGTCTCTCTTGCTCTCTCTTTCTCTCTCTGCATATTCTGTCCATCTGCTTCTCTTTCTGTCCCATCTGCCCAGCATCTGCCAGGAGCAACCTCAGTAACTGACTCACACTCTTATTCAAGTCAGTGTCAACAAATACCCCCAACAAATACGACCAAAGGTCAGTCAGGATGTGGGGTAATGCATGTGTTCCATATACACACCCATCAGCCATTACATTAAAACCTCCTCTTTGTATCTACACTCATTGTCTATTTTATCAGCTCCACGTACCATATAGGTTAACTTTAGAGATCTACAATTACAGACTGTGGTCCATCTGTTTCTCTTCTACTTTGTTAGCCCCCTTTACCCTTTTCTTCAAAGGTCAGGACCACCACAGAGCAGGTATTATTTGGGTGGTGGTTCATTCTCAGCACTGCAGTAACACTGATGTGGTGGTGGTGTGTTAGTGTGTGTTGCACTGGTGCAAATGGATCAGACACAGCAGGTCTGCTGGAGTTTTTAAACACTGTGTCCACTCACTGTCCACTCTATTAGACACTCCTACCTTGTTAGTCCACCTTGTAGATGTAGTCACTGCTGTGTCTGATTCACTCATACTAGCCCAACACACAGTAACACACCACCACCATGTCACTGTCACTGCAGTGCTGAGAATGATCCACCACCCAAGCACCCACCCAAGCTCTGTAGTGGTCCTGTGGGGGTCCTGACCACTAAAGAACAGGGTAAAAGGGGACTAACAAAGTATTCAGAGAAACAGATGGACTGCAGTCTGTAGTTGTAGAACTACAAAGTGCACCTATATGGTAAGTGGAGATGAGGAGGTGGTTTTAACGTTATGGCTAATTGGTGTGTGATATGTGTGAAACCCTCATATGTTATAATAATATGTCCCAAATTAATTTTTGGCATGTGTTGATATAAGCATGTAATATCATAATAATAACCTAACCTTTTGTCACAGTGTACGGTTTTGTTAAAACAAAAACTGCTACATGTGTAAGGTAAATGTACATGTAGGGTTCATGTAGTGTAGCACAGCCTGGAGCAGATGTTGTCAGACACTCTCTATCCCAACCATCAATGGAAAGAGACCACCAGTGACCAGGTATATGGGTGGTGGATCATTCACACAGCAATGACCCTCACACAGTAGGGATGTTCCTGTTTGTTGCATACAAGTGGGGCACACTGCAGTGTGGCTGAGATTTTGAAACACTGTGAACACTTACTGTCCACTGTATTAGACACACCTACCTTATAGGTCCACCTTGCTGGTGTACAGTTGGAGACTGTAGCTTATATTTTTAGATGTGAATCACCTCTTGGATCAGTCAGTTTGAGTGCTACAGCAATGACACTGTGTATTTGTTCATGGTCTTATGGTCATTTTGTTGTTCCTGGAAAGCCAGGTTACCCCTGTTTTTCCTGTTTGAGGGTGAAAATGTTCTGTGAAGAATCATTGATCCCTCAAACACACAGACACACAGCTAACGCTCTGTTACGGTCAGCTGGATGCATGTGTGTGTGACGTTAATGTGTGTGAAGGCTCATCACGTGCACGTGAGTTCTCCCTGCACTGGCTAACGAGATTCCCCTTCGTTAAGGTCCTTAGAGCCCTAATCGGTTGTGCAGCAGAGCAGTGAGGGAAAGAGAGACAAGCAAGAGGAATGACCAGAGTGGACGAGTGGATGCTACTGAAGTAAAGAGCAGTGACCTGAGTGTCTTGACTGAGAGTGTTATTCTAGATGGCCGTTTGTGGATAAAATTGTGAAGACACTGCTTCTCTACAGGTAAACATGCTTCAGACAGAACTCACTGACCACACAAGCTGCTGTGTCCTCTGAACTGAAAACATACAGAAAAGACTGGGTCTTTCTCTCCTTTTATTTTAGTAGACTGTAAAAGAAATAGATTAGTTCTGTTTAATATTTCTTTCTGTGTCAATGTAAAAGTCTTAGGTATTGTGTGTGTGTGTGTGTGTGTGTCTGTGTGTCCTCACAGGTCTCGCTCTCTGAGTCATCCTTGTAGGTCACTGTCTGACAGTCTGTCTACTGACCTGCTGTCTGTCTGTTGATACCATTTCATTCACTCACTGACACACAGAAGCAACTTGCTGTAGATGAGGAGGATGAGGAAACCGTTTCACATCCACACATTTATTCATTCTCACAGATAGCAGAGCAGGCCTACCAACACACACTCACACACTCACCCCAGCCCTGTCATGGAGGCGATGGTTCAGAAGTCTCTAGTGGCTCCTCTGAAAAAGCTGACAAGTTGTGTGAACGGAGCTGCCGAGAAGGACGTCTGGACAAAACAAAGATCTAAGCAGGGGTCAAAGTGCAGAAGCAGTCAAACACGCGACTCTGCACTGCTGCGAGCCTACCAGGCCGATCTGGACAGAGAGAGGTGAGAGAGTCCGTCATTGCAGGGCTATTACCGCCCTGTTCACGGAGTTGTTTATGGGGCTGTTTATAGCTTATATTTGGTGCGTTTAATCTGGGCCAGCAAGTTCATATAGCACTCTCACCACTCTATACAACCAGAGGTGATGCACTTTAAAGGGACATATGTCACATTGTTCTTGCATTTTGCATCTTTTTTTTACTTTTTTTCTTCATATATATATATATATATATATATATATACCTCTGTTCTGATTAGCTGCCCTGTATCATGCCTCATTCAAAAAGTAGATCAGGCTGAAGTGTTGAAGTGTGGAACAAACTGTCAAAGTTCTGACTGAAATCTTCAGGGACATCAGAAAAAATGAAGTTCAGGCAGTCACTGCAGATGTTTGGGTCTTTTGTGAGGTCTCTAGTCTTTCCAGACACTTAGTAGCAGCACAACATTTAGTCGTTTCCTCCCACATTAAACAATGTGAATAGACAGGCTGAACTGCTATAGGTTGAATAGTCTACTGTTTGTTAAAGTTTTCATGGTTATGATGTCATAGCCATGATTAGCTTAAAATTGACTTTTAAAAGATGGTACATGCAATGTAGTTATGTATAGACTGAGTAGAGAATTGTATGTGTTGAGAGTTTGACAATATTTAATTGGTACACCCTTTTAAAATGTGCTTGTTTAAGGATTCTTCAGTAAAGGCAATGATTATGTATAGAAGCGAGACATGTCAATCTTTAAATCTAAGTAGTGAATTGTTTTTGAATTGCAATTATGTGGGGAGTAATTAGAAATGTCTAAATGTTGGCACTGGCAATTGTGTTTTAATGTATGGCCAGAAATGCCACAGCTTTCTTGTACATCGCAGCAGGAATTTATAAGCGAGGGCACTGTAAATAGTTCTGTTTCTTCAGATCCTGAGGTTATGAGTTTGAGAAGATTGCATTTGATGGACTGGGGCTGAGCAAGGATATTGATAATAACTGTATATGAAATGGAACTTGGTATTATTTACAGTTTTATACATTTACTGTGTCTGTAGGAAGCTGCGTGAGGCCATGAACGCTCAGAAGAACGCAGAGAGAGCAGCCATGAGGGCCCACTTCAGGAGGAAATACCAGCTTTCACAGGTTAGAGTCGCACACACACAAACACACATACTCAGAGCACTCTTTACCATTACTGAGTAAAACATTTTGTAATGCAGTTTACTCCCTCCTGCTGTATGTTACTAATAAAAATACATTAATAATAAATAATCAAGTAATAAGATAACAATAATGTATTTGTATAGCATTTATAGATGCTTACAACAGCAGAAAACAACATAAACATAAACAACATACAACACTGATTTATTACCAGCAAAGACGATGGAAGTGAGAGATGGTGATAAAGATGGTAATGTCGGGGGACAGAAGTTGTAGGGAAGGTAATCTATGATCTGGCAGTGTTTAATGTATGTAATGCTACAGAAAGTTGAAGAACCTAGTTACAAACCTGCACTTCATCTCTTTCATTAGTTTACCTGATCCAGTGCTGTGCAAAAGTCAGAGACCAAACTTACCCATTTATGTAATTTCCAGTATGAAAATGGCCATTAAAGCAACACTACATAGGATATGGGGATTTGGAGACCTCTCTGGTGGAAATATGTAATTGCATGCAACATGCAGAAAAACATTTTGTAATGTCAGTCGTGCTTCAGACCCCCACAAGCGAATGAATCTGACTTTTGTGATTATGTTGAAAGAGAATTCGAAGAGCACTCAGTCAAAACCTGGCGAAGAATGTGTCTTACGAAGATGTGAGTGAATTATCTACCATTGTCATTATATCTTTATTTTACATTTGAGACCTAAACATCGAGCCAGACATTCTTTTTGAGCCTGTGCATGACACATTAACACGTAAAGACATATGACGTGGACCAAGAACTCCCATTAAATCGGTACCTCTGACTTTTAAATGATTATATCAGGCTTTACAGGGTGACTCGCAGCCACGCACTCACGCCATATTTTAGTGTGTTCTTTTTTCTCCATACTCAGTAATGCTACTTCTTTCACTTTTAACCAATAATATTACATAGTGCTGAATAGTATTACATAGTGCAGAAAAATACACAGAAAGACTCAACAGCTAAATATATTTTTCAGTATTAAGTATATCCACACTTTATCATAGCTTACATTCTTTTTTTTGAGAGACTTGCTTTTAGTTTTTCAAAGAAATCTGCAAAAAATTTTTTTCCACACCTTCAAAGTTCAGTCTTAGAAGTTGGTTGCATTTTCTGCTTCTTACGATCTAAGTAACCCCAAATACATTCACTGATGCTGAGGTCTGAACTCTGGGGTGGTCAGCTACACATCATTTCAGACTCATAGTGTTGAGTTGTCTTGCCACAGTGGAAGGATGGACAGAAACACCTGTGGATCCCGCCACTCTTGCTTCAAACCCTTCAGATTTGAAGCAAGAGTGGAGCTTGATTTCCTAAAAGATCAAGGCTTTCAGTACTGTTTATCTGATGGTGACGGTTTTGGTGGTTTATCAGGTCTTGTACAGTTGCTGTGTATGGTTGGTCCCATTTTCTTTATAAACTTTAATTAGTTAATTAGTTTTATCTCCAGTTTTGGAAGCTCCTGATTTTCATTTATTATCCTTTAAATAACTTGTACTTAAAGGCTATTTTGATTAGAAATTAACTAAATGAAGGGTGAATTTTGCAGAGCACCATACTTGAAAATCCTGAAAAATCTGCCCCCAGGACTGACCTTCTAAATTTCGGGAAAGGCAGTAACTCACCATCAGAAGAACGAAGTGTTCAAGCAGGGCAGCATGTATGCAGAAGCTCAGCTGAATGAGGGAGTGCAAGACCGACCATATAAAGATTTGTGCATTTGCAGGAGGAGATTAAATTAAAAGGAGATTTAACAGAACCAGAATTGGGCTCATGTAAGATGAATTTTCAGAATGAGGGAGAATTCTAGCAGCTGAAATTCAAACACACTGAAGAAAACATATGATTTTGTCTGGAATACCAATGCAAAATAAATAACAGTAGTCTAAACAGGACAATTTGAAAGCATGGGTCAGACTTTCAGCATCTTTCATAGTGTGGTGAAGATGTGCATTGTTTAGTGTCACACTGGAGCTATGAGGCTAACACATCCAACACGCAATGGAAGCTTATATGTGGTGTAAACTGCATGCTTAAATCATCCAAGAGTTGCCTCAAATGGAGTTATTGTGTAATCTCAAAAACATGTACTTATGTGGTTTCATGTAGATCACACAGCTAAAAACATTAATGGTAGCCATCTTGAAGCCTGAATTTGGTCTGTATTTTTGTCAGTTTTTTCATTAAGGCATGCAGTTTGTCAAGTGTTAATTAGGGGGTATAAGGTTTCATTACTTCTTCCATTAGCTTCATAGCTTCGGTGCAAAACTAAAGATGCAAATTTTTCAACAAACTATGGCTGTAAGGAGCACTGTGTGAATGAGTTTGTGTTCTTCTGAGTTTCTCTTCAACCTGCTGTTAGCTGCTTGTGCCTGTTTCACTCATTTTCTCCTAAATCCTGCACAGAATGCCAAGGACAGCAGCCATCTGCAGGCAGTGGGTGGTAAAGTGGCTCTCCCCCCTGAGCTGGCCAAGATGGTGCGGTCCGACGGCCAGGGGAAGGATGAGAGCTCTACGCTGCTGAGTGCATTTCAGAGCCTGAGCTTCGATATGGGACTGATCTCAGGCAGCAAGCAAAACACACACAGTGGCACATCTGACCACGCAGGACGGTGCAAAGTGATGTGACGGCTCAGCACACAAAAAAGGCAATGTACCAAACTTGGAACATGCCATGTGGAATGTATAATGTGACTGTAGGAGTTTTGTAGATGAATCGGTTCTTGGGTGTGTGGTGCTGCTGTGGAGGCCTCATTCACACAAAACCTTTCATATTTTACACAATATGCACTACAGGCTAAAAGTGTGGAAGCAATACTAACTTTGTAGAAATGATATGTTAAAATTACAGTCAGTAATAACACCCAGTAATGTTTTTAATACAAAATAAAAAACTATCTGCTGCAAAGGTAAACTGAATGTAAATTTGTTTTGCTCCTTGTGATTCTCCTGCAGAGTTATCCTGCAGCTGTAATTATATCTGCTTGATTATCAAATTCAGATGCTCCTGAAAGCTTGATTAACTGAATCAAATATGATCAATTAGGAATGTGTAAATAATTAAAACATAAATGTGGTTAATTTAAGGGACTGTCATCAACAAAGACCCTGGAGGCTGTTTTCCATACAATACACTAGGCAAAGGTCTTCAAATCTGGACCTTTCATCAGTTTCCAGTCCTGAATTTTGTAATCACTGGTAGTTAAGTTTACTGTTGATGTGATTGAACCTAGAGTTACCCCCTAGTGATTACAAAATCTAGGACCAGAAACTGGATTCCAGGTCTGGATTTTGAAACCAGTGCAATATTCTGGAACTTCTTTAGTTAAACTAGGTGTCAGTAAACATCTTGTATTGATTGTTGGCAAATTGACTTAATTGTAAAGCATTTTAACATTAAAATAATCACTGCATGCTTCCATACTTTTGGCCTTATTTATAGGCCAGTATCTTCTATAAAGGCCTCAAATTATAGCTATAAATGTTATATATTAGTATATGACAAATTAGAACTGACATGATATGAGTATTATGTTCACTTTGCATAACTATACACATTTACACACTCCCAAATATAAGCCTTGAAGTATTTTTGACTTGCATACCTCATGGTCTAAATGAAACACACACACACACACATACACACTTACACACGTACACACAAATGCAATGAGAAGGACATCAGTTCACTTTTCTTCATTTCACCTTTTGTAAGATTTTTGCTTTGTTAATTGTCTATGTATTTTTGTATTAAGTGTCTGCTTGTTTTAAAGGAAATATATGTAGTATTGATGCAGTTTCATAGCACGATTCCACTTTTTTCCAATGCTGTCGGCTGATACCATTACTGACCCAATATTCTTTCAACCAACCTGCTTTTAACTGAAGCACTTCACATAAAGGGCAATTTCACCAGTGTTTTCAAATTTCTGCCTAATGCAGTCATTAAGATGTAAAGTAATTCAGAGTAGTTTGATGTGAAAATCTTTAATGTATGAATTTCTTTGCAGTGATGGTGATAGAAGCCAGGGGTCCATTAATCCAACCATTAATGTATCTTAAATATACATTTTAGGCCAAACCCTTATTGTAAAACTATTATAAGTGAGCATCTTAACCATGTAATTATTTCTGCTGATACACAGTGATGTGGGGTGAACTGTAAATGTGTGAACAAGGTGGTAACCATGTGCTGTTGTGTGTGTGTGTGTGTGTGTATGTGTGTGTGGGTATCAAATGTAAAGCAATACCACTTTGCATGTATAATTCAGAAATACTACACTGAGAGAAAAGCCCCTTTCAGTCCCTCTGAGCCCCCTTTATTCAGACACCTCACTGGAACACTGTTCACTGCTAGTGGATGTTTCACAAAAGGGAAATTAAAGACTAGCATTTGCTGGGAAAAGGCTACTGTCTGTATGTGTATGTGTGTGAATGTGGAATACTGTTTTAATCCCATGTAGGGGCTAAACATCTTTACACTGATCATTAAACACGAAAATTCAGATGTCTGGGGACATTTCACTGTCCATCTAGAGACAAAACTGCGGATTTCCATTAAGTTTAGACGTAGCATTGTATCCATGTGCATGTTCACATCTCCCCTCTGTGGAGCTGGATGACTTTGAGAGTTGTGTTGTGCTTCTCTTGAACCTTGACTTTTCATTGCAATAAATTCTGCACTGTGTCAGGAGATTGAAAGAGTGTATGGAAAGAGGGAGGGAGAAATGAGCTGTAGAAAAACAGATGTGGCGTTAAGCTGAGGGATGGAAGGATGAAGAGCCTGAGAGACTGTAAGAGAAGCAGCATGATCACCTCGTCTGTTCGTCCCGTGGCATGTCCAGCGTTGAGCAGAGCGCTGTCAGCCTCGACCATGTTTGCAGGAGCTGAAGGAGCGGCAAAGGCTGAGCAGAGGAGCAGTGTACGGAGCTTCCAGCAGATTCCCCACACCGGCAGCAACGGCTGGGTCAACCTGCTGCACTTCTGGAGGGAGGGAACCTTCAGCCAGCTCCACAAACACATGGAGCAAACTTTCCAAATGCTCGGACCAATCTACAGGTACCAGAACCAAACACTAACCCAGACCTATCTACAGGAACCAGAACCAAACATTACCTCAGCACTAACAGGGCCCATCTGCATGTACTTTAACTAACCTAGACCCATTTACAGGCACTATAGCTGAACACCAACATAATGCTAAAGTGGTACCACCAAAATGAACCCAAAGCAGATCCATCTGCGGTTTCCAGAGCCAGATGCTAATCTTAACCAGATCCATCTATAGGTACTGGAACCAAACACTAACCCCACAATAACCCAGATCCATCTACAGATACAACAACTCAGCACTAACCCAGTGAATACCTAGACCCATCTACAGGTTCTACAACTCAGCAGTAACCTAATGCTAACCAGAAACCATTCACAGGTAAAACAATTCAATAATATCATAATTCAAACCCAGAACCATCTACAGCCATCTATATTAAATCTAGCAATGTCCCAACACAACGCTCAATACCAACATTAAAGTCCTGTACGAATAAGATTAGTATTACTTGAGGACGTGCTGTAATTTGAGTCATTACCAATGAAGTCCGTGGTTTTAATCTCTGTATGAATCTGCCATAGTTTTTACAAGTTGGCTAAGTAATAATTCCAGAGTGAATTACCTCCTATAATTCGCCAAACTCAGAGCTCCACAGAAGTAATAGTCATATCAGTAATTTAATAACAAAAACAGGTAATAGGAAACGTTGAAGGCTGAAGTTATCTTCCTATTTGCAGCTTCTTGTTCAAATTTTCCAGTTCCACCTTAAATGGTGCAGCAGTTACTGCTGCAGGACCCAACACCCACCTAACTGGAACCAAACACAGACCGCTCTAGGTTTACCTCTGCCCAACATATTAACCCACACCTATCTACAGTTCTACAAACACAAACAAGAAAAAAATACCACAGAACTAAACCTGATTCAATACAAATCTCACTTGCTTTACAGTGTGGAGCTGCTGATTGCAGTGTTACTGAAGCTCATGCTTGTCTAAACATACTGAAAGTCTTATGTAGTGAATAAGAACCGCAGCTGAGGATCAAATGCAAGGTTGGGAGTGGATGCTAATCTCTCTCTTTCTCTCTCTCTCAGGCAGTACCTAGGCTCTCAGTGCAGTGTTAATATCTTGTTGCCGGTGGATATTGGTGAGCTGTTCCGCTCAGAGGGTTTGCATCCACGGCGCATGACCCTGCAGCCATGGGCCACACACAGAGAGAGCCGCAAACACAGCAAAGGAGTCTTCCTCAAGTCAGTCAGTGTGTGTGTGTGTGTGTGTGTGTGTGTGTGTGTGTTTGTGTTTGTGTGTGCATGTTGGTCTGATCTCTATGAATTTTATTTGTCTCAAGATTTAAAAAAAAAAGTGACATGCCACATGTGTGAGTGTGTACCAGGTTTATGTCACATTGTGGGGACCTGTTTATACACTCATGTTATGGGACCTTGCTTCTTCATGGGAACCACAAGCTGGTCCCCACAACATAAGTCATTTAATTTTAAGGTGAAGACATGTTTTAAAGTTAGGGTAAGATTAAAGTTAGGGTCAAGGTTAGGCTGGTAGTAGTTATGGTTAAGGTTTGGGTAAGTCTCTAGGAAATGAATGGAAAGCTATGTAATGTCCCCAGAATTCACAGAAACAACTGTGTGTGTTTGTGTGTGTGTGTGTGTGTGTGTGTGTGTGTGTGTGTGTGTGTGTGTAGGAATGGAGCGGAGTGGCGTGCTGACCGGCTGCTGCTGAACCGGGAGATGATGCTGAGTTCGGCTGTGCGCCGCTTCCTGCCTCTGTTGGATGAAGTAGCGAGGGATTTCAGTCATTTACTGCACCTCAAAGTCCAAAAAGAGGGACGAGAGGAGAATGGGTTACACAGTCTGACCCTTGATCCCAGTCCTGACCTTTTTCGCTTTGCTCTGGAAGGTCTGTGTTTCTGACCTTTCCTGTTGACCCTCTAATTACAAATTGATCCAGGTCATTCTGTCCTTCCCATCTCTCTCATCCTCTCAGCCTGTCTCTCTTTCTGCCAGGAGAAATGACAGGTTAAATGCAAATTGCAGATATAAATAAGCCGTCTGTGTAAATCTGACCAGGGTGTGATGGATTGATGATATTTTCTCAGCTGTGTTCTTTCATGTGGCGGCCCTGAATGTGATACATTTCCTTCCGTCTTCACTGCACCACGTGCATGTGTGTGTGAGATCATTTCATTTGGTTGAAGGTGTGAGCTTCTGCAGTTGCACTATTTCTGTACCGCAGGCTCTCTGCTTTCAGCAAGAGAAACACTTCAGTATTAAATTACTCATACAGTAATGTAGGACAAAGCAATTTCTTGCTTAATGCTCTCTTTGAGCCTCCTAGTCTGATGGAGGTCCATGAAAAGTTGCCTACCCTTGTTTGAATCTAGCGTCTTACAGATGATCCAAGTTGAGATGGTAACTCCCTCTCTCTCTCTCTCCCTCTCTTTCTCTCTGTCCCTCTCTCTCTCTCTCTCTCTCTCTCTCTCTCTCTCTCTCTCTCTCTCTCTCTCTCTCTCTCTCTCTCTCTCTAGGGAGCTGTTACGTCCTGTATGGTGAGCGGATCGGTTTGTTCTCATCTGAGCCTTCACAGGAATCTCAACGCTTCATCTGGGCAGTGGAGCGCATGCTGGCCACCACGCCTCCGCTTCTCTACCTGCCCCCCCGCCTCTTGCTCCGCCTACATGCCCCCCTGTGGACCCAACATGCCACTGCATGGGACCACATCTTCAGCCACGGTGCTTAACTCCACACTTAGTCCTCATCTACAATACAAAATTACTCTGTATTTATGTTTCATATGCTTCCTTCTAAAATACTATGGCTAATGAATGTGTGTTTTCGTCAGGAATTGCAAAATGAAATAGTAATTCCATTGCATTCCATGCCAGTTTTCCAGCATTAACCCCTCAAAACAAAATTAAAAACAGTTAATAACATTGTTTTAATAGAGCATACCATGCACACATTATGTACATACTATTAGGCTACATTTAGTTTAAGAAAATACATATGGTTATAATGAAAAACAAACGATTTATCTGTAAAGGACAGAAACCAGTTAGTTAGCTAGCATAAGTCAAAAGCAAGAATGTTTCTTCCAATAAGTGATATTTAGCAGTTTCTTAAGGTCCATGTTTTGTTTTGTTTTTTTTTTTTGGTTGCATTAGCATCCTGATCACAAGTAACGAACACTTTGTCAACACAAATAACATGACGATATTCAGTTTAGCCAAGTTTTGGCTTCATTTTTGCAAAAAGGTCAATGGAGCCATTTTGTTCACTCATATACAGGCTACAGTCATTGATCAGGACACTTCCACAGTGTTAACCATAAGCACAGTGTAAGATATCAATGTGGTTGCACAAAAACCTTGTACACCCATTTTTACTTTTTTGCATAATTTGAAAACTCCAGTTACCCTTCATGTTGTGTTAAGATTTCATGATGTATGGATCAATTGAAGAGGTCCAAAATCCTGTTTCAGTAACTCATTACAAGTTAAGAACATTTTTCCTTCTTCTGTGAAGTTACCATTTTTGAGACATGAAGTTTTATTCTGGCAGCAATGATATATGATGTTATTATTGGAAAAATTTTGTCTGGGTAACGTACCTAGCATGAATACAAACGTATTCCACTTGGCACTGGCACTGAGTCTACATCATTAATCTACATCATTAAACAATTGCATGTACTCAGCTGTAAAAAGTCATTAGGCAAGATGAAAAATGATTATAGCTGACTAATATTTGACAGTAGCGACACTGCAGAAGGAAGAGGTTGCTATGGAGAGCAAAATGCACTGGGAAAATCATTGATACAGTCATAACTATTTGAAAATGAACCTCAGTGTTTTCTGTGAAAAATTGTTTTTTGGTTTCGGTTTTTGTTCCCTGTACAATTCCTAATCATTGGTTCTCTCTCTCCGCCTGTATTTAGCGGAGACCCGCATTCAGAGGGGTTACCAGCGGCTCCAGGCTGCGGTCGGTAATGCTGCAGGGGCAGTACAGGGTTCATTGGGGCAGTTTCCAGGTGTGCTGGGCCAGTTGATGGAAAGGGGTCAGTTACCCCTGGAACTCATCAGAGCCAACATTACAGAGCTGATGGCTGGAGGCGTCGACACGGTGGGTCTGCAATCAGGGAACATGCTCAAACACTCATTATCATTGCGAATCTGAAAGCACTTCATACTTCTACTGAGCCTTTGATTGGGCTTTTGTGAAAATTAACTTTGAAGTTAACTACTTCAGTAGCTTTATCACTTCCTCAGATTCAGATTCAAACAGCTTTATTGGCACTAACTGCAGTTAACACCCTAAACTGCAATTGCCTGTATGTGGGACCACAATTCAGTCTCATAACTACATAACTTTCTTATTCATCTCATGTCAGTTATCAAAATATTTGTAGTGTTGAAATAAATAATAACTCTGATAATTAATTCTCTCTTAAACTACTTTTTAAAAGATTTTTCAAAGAACCATATGCAACAGATTTGCCATCATTTTCCACCACTTCTAATTCTAACAATGATAATGATATAGATAAATATTCAGTTTTGTCAGATCCAAACCATTTTTTTTACATGTGTGAAAATGTCATGATGAATGGACCAATAGAAATGGTCCAAAATGCAAACTTTCACTGAAATATTAAGACCATTTTTGTCTTCTCCTTAAAACCGACCACTGAATGAGTGAAAACACTATATAATACTAGTACCACTACAAATTAACATGAATACAGTAAAAGATATGTGTGCAAAATCATTGCACACATAAACACACGCTTGTTTGTCTGCACACACATACACATCGCACTTGCATAGATATTTACATATGATTGGCTTACAGTACCATTTCATTCTTTCTTCAGACAGCGGTTCCTCTGCAGTTTGCTCTCTTTGAGTTGGCACGAAACCCCAGCGTACAGGAGCAAGTGCGTGCACAGGTGCAGGCCTCATGGTCACAGGCGGCGGGGAATCCCCAGAAGGCCCTACAGGGGGCACCACTGCTGAAAGGGGCAGTGAAGGAGACATTGAGGTGGGGCAAAAAACAGCAAGGATTTATATGAAAGAGTTTGACCTGCCTTGCTATATCTGGAAAAGAAAGGCACTCCTTGACTTTCTTTCCGCATTTAACCTTGGGCAAAACCTCAAGTTTGGGTGTATCACCACTGCCATCTTCGGAGCAAGGCAGTGTTTCTCAAAAAGGTTGAAGGGAGTTTCTATTGTCAGGCCTTCATGTTCTACAAAGAGTCTGGAAAGGGTCTCTGCAAAACTGTAGACTTCAGGCAGGGCCACATCCTGAGATGCAACTCGATTTCTCATCACAGCTCTATGTACAAAGAGCTACACCCATGAACCGCACAAGCTATACTTTCAGCTAATGTTAGATAACCATATGGGATCGTTTTATTGTTGTATGCATGCTGATTGAAAATGATTTCAGTAAACCACAATCTCTTGAAAGTAACTAAACATTAACTAATATCAGCTTGCCATACCCTGATAGCAGAGCGGTCCACCCTTTCTTCAGCAACTGAGCACTCTTGTTATGTATGCATGATGCAGATACAAAGTCCAGGAGGGTGAGTTTCGGCAGGTGTCATAGGTGTGGTGCACCCATGATCAATTATGCAGATAAGCCTCTAGAATACTGTAATATTATTTATAAAATAGTAACACATCGTTTTACATTGAGTAAATATCTTATAAACATTTCAGAGCCTTTTTACATCAATTTGCTCGTTCAAGAGGCGAAATGGTCTATTTCCATGGAATCATGCATTTTCAAGAGCCACTGATACATAATCATATCCTGATAACCCGAAAAAATGGATACAGCTAGTTAGCATTAACTTTACACACAGATGGAAGGAGTGTTGCAGGTTTCTGGACAGAGGCCAGATATTAGTGAAAAAATTGCAAAAACATTGTTTTAATAGAACTGATAGAGCGACTGGCATTTCGCAGGAGAATGAGAAAACAGGTGAGCAGCAGTATGAGCTACCCCAGAGAAGTCGTCAGATTAGCTAGGAGCTCACTGCATTTCAAGTGAATGTAGTCTGGCACAAAACAAGCTAGCAAACACAAATCTGTCCAAATGTTCCACTAGGTAGAAACTTCTTTTTTGTTATGCCTGCATTTGCCTATGTCAGGGTGACCAATTTTTCTGATGAAAATTTCTCTCATGTTAGTCTGAAGTGCACTGTGTGTGTGTTGTGTGCTGTAGGCTGTATCCTGTGGGGATCACGGTGCAGAGGTACCCCATCCGAGACATCGTGCTGCAGAATTACCACATACCTGCTGGGGTGAGAAACTAACATGAGGCATCTAAAAACTAATATAGAACAGCACTGAGGGAAATCGAATCTCTATCTTCCTTCTTCTCTCTGTGTCTCTCAACAGACACATGCCAGGCATCTCAGCCATGGTTCACATCATTCCTAGTGTGACAGGCAGAGTTTTATATTCCCATATGGATGATGTGCCTGGCTCAGCCACAGTTCTGAGGCCTTTTTAATGCAGCCTTCACTGGGTGCTTGAATTCATTATACAACATGGAAAACAGAGCAGTGACAGAGGACACAAAATCAGTTTTACAATTTGCTAAACCTCGTTATTACTGTTCAGGTCAATTTTCGTTCCTCTCAAGGTATAAACAATGTAAATGTTCCCTCAAAGGTACAACGATAGCCTTAAAGACCAATTTTCCTCTTTATCCTAGATGAAGTTGATCAGCCAAGACTTGTTTGGTGTCCAAATTTTGTTTCTCTAGTTTGGTGCAGGAGCTATGTGTCTGAATTATTCACTTTTATATACTGTCTCCTAAACTACATTGAAAAGTCACAATGACATGCAATCTTAAAGAAGGCCTGGATGCACTTTGAGCAGGTTGAGAGACATTTTGGGTATGTGTTTGGGGGAAGATTTGGGTGTCTATTGACTTTTGGTGTTTGTCAGCAATATTAGCCTTGCAGCTGCAGTGCTAAACTAAAGAAGCAGCATTTGGACACCAAACAAGTCTTGGCTGATCAACTTTATCTAGGAGAGGAAAACTGTATACATTTTATTTGTCATTAAACTATTCTTTTAAATGAGTTTTCAAAGTACAATAAATTCACTTTCCCAGAAGACACGTGCATATATGTTCCATAAAGTCTTAATTTTGTAAATAGAAAAGTAAGATAAAAAGTCTGGAGTCAAGAGAGTATGCATAGAGTCAATGCAACTAAATAACTGCAATGAAATATGGTACAGTTGTGTTCCCTAACAATAGGTAGTGAAGACGTACCCTTAAGCGTACCATGCAGTTAGGGTATCTATTGGTGTCATCTAACATATTTTCATCACATTTTGTATTTTATAATGATCTGCCACAATTATTTGTCGGGTATTTCAGATATAAACATTGAATGTCGTGTTTTGTCAACATTGAATGTCGTGTCATGAGCATAAATTGACATAAGCTAAGCCAACACTGTTGACCATTTCTGTCTGAAAAGAATTACAGTGTAAAATATATTTCTCCATTATAGCTGTCTTAATGACCAGTAATGCTTGTACTATCATCTGTCAATTAATGTTATTATACTGTAACAAACTAAACTAACTGAAGGACACTGCATGTAAAGGGGCATGAAAATTTTTCTTGGCAGTAATTTTGTTGTTATACTGCATCGGCTCTAAACTGAGTGTGTGGAGTGTGAGGATGTGGTTTGAATAACAGTTTCTTTCTTTCTGTCATTGCAGACACTAGTGCAGGCTTGTCTGTATCCTCTGGGCCGCAGTCAGGATGTGTTTCAGGAGCCTGAGCGCTTTGACCCCAGCCGTTGGGGGCCAGGCGGTGAGGAGGGCACCATGGAGACGGGCTCAGGGGCGGGGTTCCGCTCATTAGCGTTCGGTTTTGGAGCGAGGCAGTGTGTGGGAAGGAGAATCGCCGAGAATGAGATGCAGCTACTGCTCCTGCATGTGAGTATGATGTGGTGGTCAGGGGTCAGTCTGGCCTGGAGAGCATTAGGAGTGGAACAAGCTGGAGGAGAAAGTCAATGGTGTTCACCAGTAACTGTGCTCATACATAATAGGATGCTTGGCTTAATGAATATTTTACATGCTTGTGTGTGTGTTTTGTAGATTCTGAGGAACTTTCGCCTGAGTGTTTCATCAAAAGAAGAGCTTAAAACCAAATACACACTCATCCTCCAACCAGAGTCTCCGCCCACCATCAATTTTACCACTCTCTCACACAGCTAAGTTATTGATCCATCAGTCAATAAACCAATGTCACTCAGCTGATCAGTCAATACCTGGCATTTCTTTCACAGAAACATAAACAAAATAATCGTTGAACACCACTAATCAATATGCAGTTTCATTATGAGTGATTGCTAACATGGGAAAATAGAGAGATAGTATTTTTTATCACACTTTAGTTTCATTTTTCATCATCTGTTTTGGGCATTTGTCATCAAACTCATGGAGAATCAACTTGGTGTTCAATCTACAGACATTTAGGCCATGTTCACATTAGTGTTATTGCTCAGTTAATTTTTTTGCTAATATTTTTGCCTTGATGGTTCACATATGTGTGTAAGTGACTCATATCTGTACCATAAGAACCTAAATATGTTTAGGTTATATTGCTCTTTTGGGCAAACTATATACATATCTTGTGAATACAAAACTTTCCAGTGACCAATAAATGGCCAGTGTATTTTGCCAATATTCTCTTCTTTCGATGTAAACTGGGTCTTCCTAATCTTGGGTAGCATTAGGTAAGCAGTCCCCCCACCAGTCACAAGGCTGATGTGGGTTGTCCTTCCTCTGTTCTGTCTTCCCCTATACAGTCTCTTTCTCGCAGTCAAAATGCTAACAATGCTAACATTGAGCAAAAACTAACCTAGCAAGCATAAGCCAATTAGAAAGAACATCAATTCAGCCCCTACCAGTCTTCCCTGGTTGCACATCCAGCAGTAAAATCCCAGTCTTTTTACATACTAAGGTTTATTATTGAGTAACCACAGGGACTTCAGTGCAAACTGGCTGAGCTATTATTAGGTTATAGAAATGTGTAATAAAACTTTGAGTGGTAAAAACTTAAATGGTTAAGGGGTTAATGTTTTTAGTAAGCCATGGACTCAGTGGGAAGAGTCTACAACACCACCTGCATATGTAGAGCCCATTTCACTCATTTCACTCTACTTGTGCTGTTGTTTTCAGTTCAGCATGAATGACACATAAAGTGCTTTTAGCAGTGATTTGTCCTATTTCTGTCTTGTTTTTCCATTAAAACATTGCTGGATGTTTAATATAAAATTACATTTAGTATTATACAAACATTTCTAATGCTTTACGTGTTTCCTGGGACTTTTATGTAAATAAACCTGTGCACTGTAGTTATTCGCATACACGCATCCTGAACAAAAGTGTCACATTACTGATCCCTGTGCATCATGAAAAAAACAACAAGTGAAAAAACTGGCAGCCTTCCTTGCAGAGGTCATTAGCTCACAGCTATTCATCATTAGGGGAGTGACAAAAAGTAAAATGCATTAATGTAACATTAGCTAGCTACTGCTACCATGCTGCAAACATGAGATGATGAAGGTAGTACGTGCATGTGCAGTGGAAAAAAATACATAAATTCCAATCTGACAGTACTCTTTTAGGCCACAGATCTGTGTTACATTAAGGCAAAAAACTTGATTTGTGCCACTAAACCCGGTAATGTGAACGTGGCCTTACTGTCCTTCATTCTTTTCGCATACATCCTTGCATTTGTGGTTATCTTACATGGAAACTATTACAACTAAGTAGTACTAGCTAGCAACGTACATCACATTAAATCAGGTACCCAGGGAGAGCCTCTCAGATCAAACATGCATGTACCCATGAAGCCTTGTGGTGTTGCACCAATCAGCTTTTTAAAAAGGTTTTTCCAGTCAAAATGTCAAACTTTTTTTTGTAACAAATAAATTTGTTTGTTCAGCACAGTAAGCCTGAAAAATGTTTGCTCTCCATGCATTTTTTTTTTCAGAGACTGACTCTTATTAACTAAACTTAATAGATATACTGCATCCAAAAGCATCAAGATACCTTTTCTAATTAGTGAGTTCATCTACTTTAAGGTGCACCTATTACTGAGAAATGTAACACATACAGCTTGTATATTCTTTAGAAAAGTATTGCTAATAGAATGGGGTGCTCAGGAGGAGCCATACATGAGCCTAAGATCACCATCCCCAATGCCAAGTCCCCCAGCATTTGTTTGTGTAGCAGTGCACCTGAGTTCTCTGGAGTGATGGAGCTCCAACCTTTGGGATGAGTTCGAGAGGCATTTGTGATCCAAAACTGACCATCCAACATCAGTAGCTGACATCACTAATGCTCTTGTGGCTGAATGCAATCAAATCCCCACAGCAATGTTCCGATATCTAGTGTAAAGCCTTCGCAGAAGAGTAGAGGCAGCAATGGGGGGGACAAAATCACTCTTAATATGCTTGATTTCAGAAGAAATGCTGGATGAGCAAATGTTTACAAACTTTTGGAAAGTGGGTTTTCCAGACATTGATTAAACCTAATCATGTACTATATTCTCCGGTTAGTGGAAAATATCATTCATAGTCCTGTGATGTCCAAGACTAGACCTAATCCCTTTCTGGGAAACCAGCCTGTGGTGTATTTGTGTCTTGTTTTCTTCATATTTCAGCAACACAATGCTGGCAGATCCTGTTGGCTCTTTTTGCAAAGTATGACGTATATGAGCTAGAGACAACTGGCAGTAATAAAATACTGGCAAGACAGGACAAGTGAGCTTTGGAGATATGGCATTGTCCAATAGGGCCAAAAATGGAGCTGGCAGAATGGCAGACATGTCTAGAATGTGTAGTGTAGTAAAATGTGTAGTGCTTAATATTTACATTTTAGTAAGTGTCCTCACTGTGGCAAGTATAAATCTATTGTTCCATGTTAATCATTCCATTGTTGCTGAGGGAGATCATCATGAGTCTCTGTGCATAAAACAATCCTGATTAAGAATTCAGACACTGATTACTGTGCTTCTTATTCCAGCTTCTACACCCACACCTCTCCCCAGCTATGTCTTACAGCATTTGTCAGTGATCAATAAATGCTATTTAAAAGCACAAACATTTTGTAAGTGTAGATCTCATCTGGCTTTTGTCTTAAAGTTGTTGTGGATGAAATTCTGCTCTTCTGCCACCTTCACCATCTCACACTTACAGCATGGATGTTGTAGAGCATTCAGCACATGTACAGTTTACTGCACCAGATCTCATTTCTGGATGTGTTAAATACACCTAATATCTTGAGTCTTCTTTGACATTTGTGTGAGTACCTAAACAAGCATAATAATCTTTACATATATAGCAGGAATAACTCATTAAAGGAGGTGGAATGGTGTTGACAGTATCTGGAAAACCAGAACTGGTTCCAAAATTGATCTGAAATACATTTTAAAAGGCTGTGTTACATTTCTTTAACTGTAATAACTTTTGAAAACTATTCAAACACTGAAAACTATTCAGTGCAATTCCTGCAACAATATATAACAGCGTGTAATCTCTTGTTTCTAAATAGATTAGTGACTGATTAACAGAAGTAAATTACTAGTGAAACTGGTGTAGCATTGGTGTAACCGATGTAGCCAAAGTAGACAAGTAAGCACATCTACCTGTAACATATCAACAAGAACTGACATAGAACAGCACTGTATTGCAGACTTACGGGTCAGTCCAGTTTAAGTGGTTGACAGTTAGGTTAAAGGGGAATTTTAGCAATTTTTCTAAATGTCTACATAATTAAGTGGTTGAAATGTAAATAATGTCATTCATAGTGGGTTGATGTGAAATGGTTCATTTGTAGAGAAACTTACTGACTCTGATTTATTTACAGTGGTGGTGATAGGAACCAGGGTTCCTGATGTCTACAACACAAATAAAGAATCTGAATTAGAATAAATTGATTAAAATACGTTTTAGGCCAAACACTTATCTCAAAACTACTGTAAAGCAAAGTCTCATTCATAATTCATTTAATGCAATAACATTCTGCGGTGTAGCTTTTAGAGGCTTTAAATCCTTCAGACGTCTGGTTCCTATCACTTCCACTGTGAACAATTCTGACTTTTCTGAGTTTTTCTAGAATTAAGCATCATGCACCAAACCACTCTGAATGACTCTGTTTACATCTTAACCATTTAATCATGCAGAAAGAATCAGTGGAGGTCCCCTTTAAGAGAGCTACAGCAAGTTTCCTCATGCCATAGTATAGTTTCAGTTTGCGTCTTTGAGGGGAAAACGAGCCAAAGAACTCGCAGCCAGACGAATCGACTCTTTTTGGTGAACCGATCAAAAGGAAACAACTCCTCAAATAACTCTGAATCACTAAGGTTTGGACTTGGAGTCTTTATTGGGAAACTTTATCGTCCGTAAGATGGCGCTAAAGCTCCTATCAGATTGCCTCTCTGTATCAGTGTCCCTGAAGACGTCTTGGTGTTGGTGTCTGAGTGTCTTCTTCCTGATCCGAGTCTCTCAGGTAGGAGCTCTTCCTCTCACCTGAGGAGGAAAAATTCACCTGCTCAGCTTTTAGCTCACACTGAATGCATGGCGTTACATTTTTTGTAACTTAATATGTTCTCGTTTGTTTTACTCCCAACTTGTAGCTTGTAGCCTACTTGTTTCTGAGGTAATTCTGCTTGCTAACTATAAAAATCTGAACGGTCTGCGTTTCTTCTGCTGCTGTGCGGTTAAAACAAAATCATCTGCTGTTCTGTGTTGCAGCATGTTTTTAAGTTATCGTTTTAGTAATAGCTTACAGTAGTTAACAGTTTACTACCCTCAACCTTTCTCTGTGATACTCTGTTTAGGGCGCTCTGTAGCTTTTCCTATAGAGAGGCTCTCACTCAGGGAAAGGTGTGTGTGTTCCTGAAGAACTTCAGCTCAAAGGTCTGTTTGTCTTCTAGGTACTGATTTACAGCCAGCGTCAAAGCTTCCCACCGAGCCAGAAACTGTAGAGGGGCTTCTAAGAGATGATGTTGCTAGTAAAATACTGAGGTTTAATTCAGCAGATTTCAGGCTGATGTGCTGTATAGCTTAATATAGCTCTTAATGAAAATTATATGTATTAACTCATGTCTTAAGTCTTATTAAAATCTTTGTAGCTGCATATAGAGTAAAAGTAACCTATTCTCAAATATTTATGAAAAAACGACTAAAAAAGTTCCAAAGGGAACGTGCATGTGTGCATGCAAAAGTTGTAAAAGACACAATTTTTTTTAACATTACCCCAAGAGGACTTGTTCGGTCAAGACACTTTTGAAGTTTGCTTCTATGAAAATGGACAAAAAGTATGGACAAAATTCAGATTTCAAG